CTGGTCGACGCGAACCCTGGTCATTTTCCGTCATTGTCGTACCAATTTGGCTGCATGCTGGAAGCTACAGATGCACACTCCAGAGGACATGCACCTCCACGATGCATTCCGGTCGACTTTTACGGTGGTATGTACAGTACTGTGTATCCGAGGTATGCACTATGTAGAGATTCCCACGCAAGTGGTTAGGTTGAGATCCGCGGCGACGTGCAGTTGTTTGGGAAGAGGCCCGCGAGATCTTCCATTAGCTTGGATACTATAAGATCCATCCCAAGAGGTCGTCACCGTGGCGGTTTCAACTTTCCCATCACCCTAGAGGTATCTTCCATTGTGGTCAGCTCAGTTGCGGCGTGACGGTCTTCCGACTTTCACCTGCCCTACACCACGAGTGTGCCGGGTTTTGCGGGTAGGTAGTACGGTAGTAACAGTGGAGGTACGGTACCGTATCGAGATTCAGCCAGATTACACTGTGGGTGTGGTTCTGCTGCGTCTCCTCTGCTTTTCTGCTTGACTAGCGCATCTGCAGAACGGACCACTTCACTCCACTCGCCCAACGCTTTTGCCATCCACTTTGGCAGCGGGTCTTGTCGTCGCCCTCGTTCGCCTCTCTCTTTGGCTGCTGATTGACATCTGCACGGGCCACTGTGGATCACGGCTAGCGTCTGTCGTCTTGTCGAAGGCAGTTCTGGCACTTCATTTTACCACCTCGCAGCCGGCCCCGTCGCGCGCAGGTTTGAAGGTTTCGATCCAGTCGCAAGTCGCCAGTCGCAGTCGCACTCTTGTCGCAACGAGTCGACCTAGTGCACTGACTATCTAACCTGGTCCTAGCGCCAGTCTTTCTCAACCTCTCATTCACGAATCTTTTCTTCCTCTTCCTCCTCTCTCTTCCTCTCTTCTCGTCGTCACGCCGTACTTCACGTCTCTTTTTTCTTCCCTCCTCCCCCTCCATCACTGTCGAATCCGCTGGGGATCCCGCATACCGACGAGCGACCAATTCAGTTTTGCGTCGTTCACGAGAGGATTTGGGTGCACTTCAACTCTTCGCTGTTTTAGGTCGAATAACGAAGAGGCGCCTTTTGCAGGAGCGGTTTTGTTTTCCGGCCAGGGTGCGCTCTCAGTGTTTTGCCAGTACTAGTGGTATCGAGACCCTCGACGTCAGACTCAGCACGGCATCACATCCCCCTCGGACAAGTCGACAAGACCACCCATCACTACTGGAGGACATTGTCACGTTGTCATCAACATCACCTTCATCTTGATCAGAGCGACAGTACCTGTCACCTTCGACGTCGTTTTCACAGGTTAGTGTCTGCATTTGTTCACCAAGATTTCAGTTTTCGGTCCTTCTCCGTCGCCCAATTCCAGTTTGGAGTCCGCTGCACGTCGCCCCAACACTGGTTTTGCAAGCGGTCCCCCGCTACGAATACATGCTTCTCCGCCGGACGCAACACTTGGCCATGGAAAACTAACTTTGCCTCTCACAGCCCCTACACATTCTCTTCTCAACGAGACCTAATATTCCGGCATCTTACATACCGGATACAGACCCCTTGAGTCAGAGATTCTTTCGGTCTTGTTGATTGGATCACGACGACTTCTCCTTTGCCTCGCAACAAAAAAATCTTTGACTGGAGATCACTTGTTGCTTGCAGGCATTTTCTTTGCGACGACTCAAAAACTTGGTTTTCCTTTGAACTGATTTTCTCACGACCTATTTGACGACTTATGGCCAGACCGTCTCACTAGATCTCGATCATTCTCAGCATTTCGAGATCCTCTACTCCCCGCCTTGAGCCTTGGAACCTTACCTGGGTAGTGACATCCCCGTATACTTGAGCTCTGATCTCGGATTCATCCATCTCTCAACTCTTCCTCACCTTCAAACTCAGGTCTCCTGACTACCAACCGCCAAAATGCCCGGAGGTGTTTGCGCCGTTCTCGATTACGAGGTCGAGCTGATGGCCGACTACGTTTCTGAAATGGCAACTCGAATTGTTATGCCGCAAAATACCGTCAACACCGCCTTCAGGAAGTTCGTGTCACAGATCCTCACTTCCACTCGACTTCCCAGCACTACCATCCTTCTCGGCATGAACTACCTTGCCAAGCGCGTCAACATGATGAAGGCTAACGGCCAGACTACCCATTCCGAAGGTCAAATCTGGCGCATGTTGACCATCTCGCTGTTGCTTGGAAGCAAGTTTTTGGACGACAACACTTTCCAGAACAAGTCCTGGTCCGAAGTGAGCGGTATTCCCGTCAAGGAGCTCAACACTCTGGAATATGAGTGGCTCGGTGTGATTGGCTGGCGGCTGTATGTCAACCTCGATGAGAGTGAGGATTACAACGCCTGGTTGGCGAACTGGAAGGAATGGTTGGAGACGAAGAAGTTGCAGCAAGCCCAGGCCAACCGCGAACGCCTGGCCTCCCTCGTGCCTCCTATCAAGACCGACATTTCCCGATCTCGGTTCTCCTCGGCTTGGGAGCAGAAGCAGATTGCCGAGTATGAAAGGCTATCGAGCATCAAGCGCAGCCAAACCACTCACGTTGCTTATCCTCGGCACGAGCAGTCCGTGTGGGGTCATTGGTCGCAGCAGCAGGCTCCGTTGACGCCCCCCGACTCTGGATACGGAACGCCCGAGTATGTCAACTCGGCGACATCGGTCAACTCCCACTACAACGAGTGGTTCGATAGTGCGGTCAGGGACCATTGCCAGGCCTCTCGGCAATACCAACAGCCTGCGTCGTATAACTCATTCTATCACGGCCAGTCCAACCGTCGTCAGAGCAGCACTTCGGGGTACTGGAACTACACCCACAATGTGTGGGAGCATTCCCTCTCCGGTGATTGCAACTGCGCCACTTGTGTTGCTACGGACAACTCTCCTCCGTACTTCATGGGTCACACCTACGGACAGCCGGTTGTTGGCTAAATTGCCAATGACACTTTCGACGCGGTTTCGACGATGCCATGAGTTTCGGCGTTTGAGTGATCATACAACATCCGCAGCTTTTCATCCGAGGCTGTGCTTTCTCACTGCATTTTCATCTGGTGCAGGTTCTTTTACAGGCACAACGGAGAATTGATACATTGCATTCAGATACCCCGATCGACGAATGGACCGGTTCGTTTTCACAGCCCAGAAGGCCGGACTCCTTCAGATTCTGCTCCTAGCAGAATTCCCACCCTTGCTCGTCTCCATTTCGCATGCATGAGCGGAGGAGCGCTACGGCATGGGAAACATGGGCAACCGCGACTTATATCCATATGCGGGATACAAACTTTCACGGTTCCACTCGTCATTGATTAATGACTTTCGTTTTCTTCCTCGGTATATGGTTCGGTAATATTCATAAACCGGCGTTCTTGGATTCCTATACCATGGGTTTCGTTCAAATTCGGCATAGATTCGACAAAAGTTTTTCTTGTTTTCTTCAACATACGAGACGGGCGACTTGCTTCAGCAACGACCGCTATCCTTTTCTTCCCGGCCCTAGCAGCGTCGAGTTAAGCTGCGAGACTCGGCACACACCAACATCAACGGCAAATTCCGATACCTCGTAACAATGGGTTACTCCTGTTCGAGAGATGCGATGTGGTCGATGTCGCGACAGCTCACAGCAACCACTGCTCGACCTGTTTCGGCTTGAGTGATAACCGACATCACCTTGGGTCGAAGCCAGTTGCACTCGCTTGTTTGTTTATGTTTTTTTCCTGGTTCTTGCGTTTTCGGCATTCACAAAAAGGGTCGTTTGGTCCACCGCAGCTGGTCAGTTACATAAGAAGGCCATTCTTCGCGCGGCGTCACCTATCAAAAGTACATTCGAGGCCTTACATATATGAAAAAAGTTTGGAGGTGGGCATGGTACATATTTGCTTTTTTTTCGCCCATCAGGGTGTGGTGCGTTTACAGGATTGGGGTTCATGAGGTCGGAAAAATTAAGATGAGGCTGCTTTGCATTTTGCGGACAAAAAGGGGGGCTCTATTGCTGTTTTCTTTTTCTTTTTTTCTTGTGTGTCGTTTCCTACGTTCAACACCACCTAGGTTGGACGTCGAGCTATCCATTGGTGCATGTCAAGGGGTGGCCCCAAGACATGTGACCTTTTGGCACTTGGCGGACACCTGGACAGGTGGTTCACGTTGTCTTTCTACTTACCATAACCATGGACTTAGAGATGGTGGTGGTTTTCCTTGATTTTGGTGTTTTTTTCTTTTTCTGTTTTTTTCTCGAAGATCGGCATTTGGTTGTAGAGTGGGGAGACTTGCAACTATGTTCAAAACGGTAGACGGGTTCGTTTGAGGTTAATCTGGCCGTCGTGTCAGTAGGGATGGATTTTGTTACCCGCGAAATACCCTCATGATTTACGAGCATTGCGGGCATGTGGAGAGTGGAAAAGAATGGGATGATGGGAGGAAGCAAAAGACGATTAAAACCGGGCATTGCGGGTGTCAACTCGCAACTGACGGCGCCGTTCAGCAGCAGCTGGATCGAGATATCAGTGGACCTGACCACGGTTCAAGAAGTTCAGGGACATGCCTGATATCGGACAGCATTTGCTGAGGAAAGGTTGGAGCCGTAGCAAAGCAGAGTAGTAGGGGGCATTGCGATGATGAGCGGACAAAATTGGTCAGCACGTTGAAAGCACCTCATACTACCAGTTTTACAGTGCTCCGATGAATAAACAAAAAAAATTCCGATGAACCAATCACTCCTACTTGATGCGTTTCAATCTGTGACATGCCGAATGCTGTTTTGTGACTTGCATTCTTTCTTGGATACTGTAGAGCTGGTATGATGCTCCACTCTCCCTGCTGTGATTGGTGGATTTTCACCGGCAAGACATCGACCAAATGCTGAAGGGTATCGAATCTTGAGACTCGGTCGTAAAATACACCATCATGTTATCACAACTAGAATTTAGGCGAAAGCACATCCAGGGTTTGGAGATCCAAGTGTGAATTCATATTTTTCAGTCCCATACCCTCAGTAGTCGAGACAGTTCCCGTGACCCTCGATTGGGTGTCAAAGCATCTCAAAAACCTCACGACCGGACGACAGCGCGGAGACTGTATCGACCATCCCAAAGATTCGGTATATAAAACGATCCCGAACGAACTCTTGAAAGTCTATTAAGAAATGTCTTCGCGATTCGTCTCCGCTGGCGCCATCAACCCCTCTACGGGAGAGGTAACAGCACCGGCGACTGTCACATCATCGTCTTCCATCTCTCCTCCCACGTCTTCATCAACAACCGCCGCCACTCCTGCGGTCCCATCGACATCGACATCATCATCATCAACAACAACAACAACCGCCACCAATGCACCGGCCAACCTTCAAACCACCTCGTCATCAAAAGTATCAACAATAACCCCCGCCACCAAAACACCAGCACCAGCACCAGCACCATCCACCCAAAACCCTCCCCCGCCACCGCCCCCCTCCAAAAAATCCCAAGAATGGCTCACCGTCCAAGCCGAACTCGAAGCCAAAAAACGGTCTGCTTCTCCCTCCATCCCCACCATCGGCGGCGGCCCAGCAGCGGCCGTTGAACAACAAAAATCGCTCTACGAAGTCCTCCAAGCCAACAAAGCCGCCAAGCAAGCGGCCTTTGAAGAAGCCAACAAGATCAAGAACCAGTTCCGCGCTTTGGACGACGACGAGATTGAGTTTTTGGAGGGGGTGGCGGAGAGGAAGAGGAGGGAGGAGGAAGAACGCCGAAGAGAGGAGGAGGGGGGGTTGCTGAAGTTTAGGGAACTACAGAAAAGAAAAGGGGGTGGTGATGGTGGGGATGGGGAGGAGGATGAGGATGAGGATGGGGATGGGTTGGGGGAGGAGGAGTTGATGTTCTTGAGTGGGACCGGGGGAGGGGGGAGGAAGAGGAGGAGGGGAGAGAATAAAAGGGGAGTATTGGGGTTGGGGGTGAAGAGGGTTAAGAGTGGCGGGGAGGGGGAGAAAAGGGGAGGGGAGGGAGAGAAGAAGAAGGAAGAGGAGGGGAACTCGGGGACGAAGACGGTTGCCAGCGAGCCTGCTTCGGCTACGGCTACAGCTACGGCTACGGCTGCGGCATCTGTGAAGAAGCCCCTTGGTGGACTTGTTTCGTATGCATCGTCGGATGAGGATGATGATTGAGGTTTGATAGAGGATGATAGGGGGATGAAAAATCAAACACAGGCGACAAGGCAGGCGGTGACTTGGTTGAACTGCTTATTTCAAGAATTACTCAAAAGATGAGCTTCATTATATACCATAGCATCGTAGTGGAAGATGACTAGAGAGATGGGAGATATATCGTCAGTCTCCTCTAAATAGCAACCGCTAATACCTGACCCTTTTTTGGTACCCAGCAACTAGTCCACACCCAGCTTTTCTCGAACCACTGCTTATTCATACACCGTAATCGCAACATGTACCTGACCAAAATCTTGTTTATACATGAAGATAAAATGCCAGCCAACTTCAGGTTTATCAGTTTCCCGTATCAACAACAACACCTCGCTTACTCAACATCCTTATCCTCCAAAGGGACAAGCTTCTTCTTGTTGAAGGCCTTGTCGTAGCCCCAACGGTAGGCCTGCCTGAGTGATCCCTTAATCCAGCCCTCCACCTCCTCCTCAGGCACCTTAATCTTGCTCACGCGATCCTCGACCTCGGGCGTCAAGGCGAACCTCCTCATGCGGTGCGCAATTCTTGGGTCCATCACCACCGGCTTCGTGTGGATCTTCTCCGTCACTTCCTTATCCGCATCAGCCTCATCCTCCTTCCATACCTTCTTGGGCCAGTCCTTCTCCTCCCACTCGAGCTCTTTCGCCTGCTCATACTGCACCGAATCGGCCGAGGGCGCGTCCGGGTTGGTTTGTTGCTGGAAGTCGCGGTAGGTGGACAGGCACACAGCGGCGACCTCGCGGCCGATGTCGTCGGCAAGCGAGCGGCGGTTGAAGAAGCGGACCATGCGTGTGGGGGTGTTGAGGAAGCCGAGGATATGAGGCTCACGGATGGGGACCGCCGGTGTGAGCTCCTGTGGCGTCAGGGGGTGAAGGGTCTCGGACGGGTAATCGGAGGTGGTGTTGTATGGCTTGGGTTGGGGTGGGCGCTTGGGCTTCGGGGCTTCCTCCTCCTTCTTCTCCTCGGCGGGCTTCTCTTCTGTAGATGGGCTACCCTCAGCCGCAGCGGGTGCGGGTGTAGGAGGGAGCGGCGCAGGCTCGGCGGGCGCGACCAGCGGGCCCAACCAACCCTCGTGCAGACCCCGGAGGTACTCCTTCCACGTGTGACGGCCAATGACAACATCGCCCCGAACACCCTCGTAGTCCTTGATGCCGCGCTGCTGGCGGTACATCTCTATCAACTCGTCCTTCGTAGGCTCGCGGTCGGGGTCTTGCTCTTCCTTTTTCTCCCACCCACGGCGCACCTTGCGCACTCTGTCTGCGACTACGGCGCGTACGTCGCCTTCCCGACGGCCCTGCACAAACTCCCAGTCCAAGCCACTGGCGGCAAGGACAGGCTTGACGTATTCTGTGTAGTGATCCTGAGCGACGCGCAGACCGTCGCCGGGTGGGGCGGAGAGGTAGATGGTCAGCTTGCGCGGCTGTTCAAGGCCGAGTTTATCGGTGATGGGCTCGGCAGCCAGATGCTCGACAGCGTGTCTCCATTTCGCGATGTTTCGCCTCTTCTCGCGGCGGTCGTAGATAATTGCAGCTGTGATAGAGGCCGAGACGGTCCAGAAGATCATCCAATTGCGGGAGGGAAGCTTGTTGGGCAGGTTGGGGATACCGAGCATGCGAAGGGCCTGGTTCTGCGGCCTGGGGGCTTTCGGAGGAGGAGGAGGAGGAGGCTAGGTGTAGTGTTAGCACCCATCAGAGGTATACTTGAATTAACATACTGTAGCCGTAGCTGCAGCCGGAGCGGCAGGCGCCGCAGTGGACGGCGGAGGTACGGGTTCGGCCATTGTGTAAAGTGTTGCGCTGGCTGATGCTATTGCTCTAATGTATGTCGTGCGGTGATGGGGTTTGCGCAATTACGGGCGCATGCAGCTTTCGGCGCGAGGGGTATGGTAGGGAGAGCTCGAGTGGTTGCTCGCGGGGGTCGTCACAGGCGGCGCACTTGGAAGACAGGAGGGTCCGTGATGATTACGGACAGTGACGCCGTAGGAGCTCCGTCGCGAGGACCTGGGGCCGGTGCAGCGGAGCACCGACTGCCAAAATTCCCCGAACACTTTCTTATCGCGATAAGCCGATAAGGCTACTCCCGCGGCATCTTCATCGCGTTTAGTGCTTATGCACGAGCCATATGCGAGAGTCAACCGCACGTCATGTCATTGACACTTGACTTTATAAGTGCAGACCACGCAGACTTCCGTTTTTACAACCACATCTGCAAAGCAACCTAACCTGAACTCTTGAGAGATTTGTCCCAACTTGGAGGGTTTGTCTGCCGTCTCTTGAGCCCGATTGAAACCCGTTCTCTTTAGCCAGAACTATAGGTACTCAAAGCGTTTGCACAGAGTACCTGAGCTTGTAAGTCTGGCCATCTATTCCGTACCCACACTTCCATTGGCTTCAATTCACGCTTCTCTGCTGAAGCATCGTAAAGGATACCTACATAGTAGTTGTACCTACACTCGTGTCAACTTCGTTGGGCTTCTGTGCTGTCAGCGATGCCTTCCTGTTCAATGGACACAACTGTTCGAGACGCTGCAGCCCCTGAAAGAGCAGGAGCCCCCAGGGAAGATGCGGTGTCAATTGCGCCAAGGGTGCTTACTCCACCTGCAGCACCACCAGGATGCCCCTTCGATCAATTGCAGAGTGCCCGTGCCCAGCCAGTAATAAATTCCAGGACCGCCGAGCCCAGTATCTCGAGACAATGCATCGAGCTTCAACACTGGGGATTGGTGATTCAGTGTCCCCGTGAGGCAGAGGATGATTGTCAGATTGTATGTCTGAACGCCCACAACTCCATCGTCTGCGAAAAAGACAACATCATTGTGTTGAGTACGATGAGGTCGCGGTTGTAGGGGTCTTCATGTCGACCAATGGCCCCTTCCCGTCTTTGAGCTCACCACTGGACCTGGGCATGTCCCAAACATGGAACCCCTCTTTCTAGGGATCGTGTAACAGATTCACATCGAGGCGGTCCTCCTGTGGCCAAAACGCTAGAACAGAAAACAAAAACGTGAAGATGCTCCTAGTTGCCTGTTTATATTCAAATGTGTCCTTTCAAACGCGCCCGAGACTGTCCCATGCCATCATAGTTTCTTGGTCACTTATAGATCTTGCTAACAACCACCACGCCTTCTCTCTTATACCAATACCGCAGGGTGCCCCACCTTGCTTCTCCTGATACGTTGCAAATTATAGCGCCTCGAATCGCCTCCAACGCTCCTGTCAGACTCCTGCACGAGAGGCTCCCGTCACGCTTTGCGTCCACTTCCACATCGACTGCACGTTCCAGCGGGCCACGCCTCTGCTCACAGCGCACTTCGGACGGTGCCACTCGGCCTCTACCCCCGTCTGGCCGCCTCAATCCTCATAGCCAACCCTCGTTCGACCCTCGTTGGACCCTGATCCCAAGAAAAAGCAACCTCCTTTCCTCCCGTCTCCCCGTATCCCGTCTTGTACACAGACCCCTTTCTGTGCGCAAACATCCCATCGATCGGTCCAGGAGCTCGACGTTCCCACGAGATCCAGCTCGCTTGCGCATTTCCCGCTACATACTCCCGGTTTCCATCCACCCTCAGCAACCCACTGTTTACTGTTTACAGTCGACGACAAGGTAGAGGTAGCTAAGATGGACAACAACAACCGCCCACATCTCAACCTGGGCACCAACGACACCCGCATGGCCCCGAACGATCGTACCTATCCCACCACCCCGTCGACCTTCCCGCAACCCGTCTTCCCGGGTCAACAAGCCGGTGGCGCCCAGGCCGGCCAGCAATACATGCAGCCCGGCAATTATTATCAACAGAACCAGTATGCCAGCCACTACACCCCAGGTGCCGACTACGGCTTCGTTTCTAACATTGATGGTACCAGCAATGACCCCAACACTGGTCTCGCCCACCAGTTCGCCCATCAGAACATTGGTGGCCAAGGAAGAGCTTCTCCCTACGGCTCTCGTGGTCCATCTCCCGCTCAACGCCCTCGCACATCCGGAAACTCTGGCCAACAGCAAGCCTATGGCAACTATCTGAGCGCGCCGTCGTCCTCCAATACTCAGCTCGAGTTCGCCCCTGCCCCCGAGCGGAACCCCGACAAATATGGCCCCAATGCGAACAACAACCAGAAGAAGTGCTCACAGCTGGCCTCGGACTTCTTCAAGGACAGCGTCAAGCGCGCCAGGGAGCGCAACCAGAGGTGAATGCTGCAGCGACAAATATTTAATAATTATACGCGAACGGTGCTGACACCCTATTCAGACAGAGCGAGATGGAGCAGAAGCTCGGTGAGACCAATGATCCCCGCCGTCGCGAATCGGTTTGGTCAACCGCTGGCCGGAAGGAGGGCCAGTATTTGCGCTTCCTGAGAACCAAGGACAAGCCCGAGAACTACCAGACCATCAAGATCATCGGCAAGGGCGCTTTCGGCGAGGTTAAGCTGGTGCAGAAGAAGGCCGACGGCAAGGTTTACGCCATGAAGTCGCTCATCAAGACGGAAATGTTCAAGAAGGACCAGCTTGCCCACGTCCGAGCAGAAAGAGATATCTTGGCCGAGTCGGACAGCCCATGGGTCGTCAAGCTCTACACCACCTTCCAGGATGCCAACTTCCTTTACATGCTCATGGAGTTCTTGCCCGGTGGCGACTTGATGACCATGCTGATCAAATACGAAATCTTCTCGGAGGATATCACCCGTTTCTACATTGCCGAAATTGTCTTGGCTATCGACGCCGTCCATAAGCTGGGCTTCATTCACAGGTAGGCTTTGCCGGAAGCAATGCTCTGGAAAAGAGATACTGACATCGTTGTGATTACAGAGATATCAAGCCAGACAACATTCTTCTCGATAGGGGTGGTCATGTCAAGCTTACAGATTTCGGTCTCTCTACCGGCTTCCACAAGCTCCATGATAACAACTACTACACACAGCTGCTCCAGGGCAAATCCAACAAGCCGCGCGACAACCGCAACTCCATTGCTATTGACCAAATCAACCTGACGGTCAGCAACCGTGCACAGATCAATGACTGGAGACGCTCCAGACGTTTGATGGCCTACTCGACCGTCGGTACACCAGACTATATTGCTCCCGAAATCTTCACTGGCCATGGTTACTCGTTTGATTGCGATTGGTGGTCTTTGGGTACCATCATGTTCGAGTGCTTGGTCGGCTGGCCTCCCTTCTGTGCCGAGGATAGCCATGACACTTACCGCAAGATCGTTAACTGGAGGCATTCGCTTTACTTCCCGGATGACATCACCCTTGGTGCAGATGCCGAGAGCCTCATCAGAAGGTATGCATGCTTTTAACTTCCCGCGAAAATGCTCACAATATTGACTTGTCATAGCCTCGTTTGCAACACTGAGAACCGTCTCGGCCGTGGTGGTGCCCACGAAATCAAGAGCCACGCCTTCTTCCGCGGCGTTGAGTTTGACAGCTTGCGCCGCATCCGTGCGCCCTTCGAGCCCCGTCTCACATCCGCCATCGATACCACATATTTCCCTACGGACGAGATCGACCAGACAGATAACGCCACGCTGCTCAAGGCTCAGCAGGCCGCTAGGGGCGCCGCTGCCCCTGCGCAGCAGGAGGAGAGCCCAGAACTCAGCCTGCCATTCATTGGATACACGTTCAAGCGCTTCGACAACAACTTCCGATAATTGCGCTACGTCTCGTCGTTGTCTGAATAATGAGTGTTGGGTTTTTGGGGGCGTAATAGTGATGGCGAAAGGGAGAGGAGGTTGTGCTGCTGGGCGGCAGTATCTGGGTACCCCTTATACTTGGCTTTTACGTCTTTGCTAGCTTGCGGTGCTGTTGAAATGTCCGATGGCAGAGACACTTTGCTGATAGTAAGCGTATTTTCCATACCGCATATATGGCTGAAAACAGAAACATAATGTATGAAATGCATCCTTCGGGGCGAGGAACTGGGAAGCCCTGAAGCGAGCAACGAGGGTGATGAAAAGCTGCAAGAGACATGAATTTTATGTATGGCGTGATAATAGAGATATTTGTATATCTATTGATTGAATCGAACATTCGCTTTCTTACGTTCAAGTACAACTTAGACCAGCTTGAGGCTACCAGAAGGTTGGGCGTCAGTTCTGTGGATTTGCTCAAGTCTATGGAAATTACCACGATCCAAAGATAACATATCCCGGACGATTCAAAAATAGTGAAAATATGTCCTTCCATCGTGGTAACCTTAGGACACCAGGTTCAGCTCATATGAATATCGTACATTACACATAATACAATCAACGCTATCCAGAGGCCAAACCCAGCTAGCTACATCTGACCTCCTGTTCCTCCCCTACCTAGCTCGCCTAACCCATACCTTGCTTGAGGCGAGGAACTGCCAATTTCCGTTAGAGACACTTTCAGGTTCCTACACCCTCAAGCCATTCTCCAGCACCTTCCTCCCCCTATCATCATACACAATCGAGCTGAAAGCCTCAAAGTCGCCGCTGTCCACCAGATACTCATCATCATCCACGTCCCATGGCAGCAGGCTGTACAGACCGTTGCCCGGCTTAGGCCACAGAGCCGCTAGCGGGTCGTACTCTTCTTCTTCTCCCTCCTCTCCTCCTTGGTTCTCTTGACTGGTTTCTCTGGATAGAATCACGTCTTTTAGACTCTTGCCGTTTGGTCCGCCCGAGGAGCCCTTTTGTCCCTTCCCATTGTTGTTGTTGGACCCCTTACTACTACTACTACTGTTGGTAGAAGGATTGGGACCAGGAAATATCGGCAAATCAGGCTTCACCTCCAACGCAGCCATAACCAACCCCACCAGCTCCTGCGGCGGCAAAGTCGACAAATACGCGCGCTTTTGTTGGGGCGGTTTATCCGCCCAACTTTCCCTACTTTCCCTACTCACCATTTTTAGCGATTGCTGCTGCTCTAGTAGTTCCCGTTGTCTCTGCTGCTGCTGCTGCCCCTTCCTCCCACCAGCCAAACCCTTCCCCTGCTCCCTCTTCGCCACACACACCGAACATACCCAACCCCTGGTCTGATCACGGATGACTTGCGTTTCGATTTGGGGGTCATGACACCGCTGGTGCCAGCCCTCGTTGCACCCGTCGCAGAACACCATGGGGTTTTGGGCCGGGCTGTGCATACGAGTGCACTTCTTGCACAAGGCTTGCTCGGCTGTGCGCTTGCCGTAGTGATGCGTCGACGCCGTGCTGCGGTGTTTCTTGTTGGCGGCGTCGACGGCCGCGGGGTTGTAGGTTGTTGGCTTGAGGACTTGGCGGCCGGATTTGGTCATGGTGAGGAGGGAGGTTTGGGCAGCGCCGCCAGCAGCGCCTGAGGGGGTGGAGGTGGCGGCGGCGGCCTCTTCGGGTTCGGATACATCGGAGAGACTGGAGAGACTGCTAAGCTCGTCCGCGTCTTGTTGCTGCTTGATGCGTTTCTTTCTGTGGCCGGTGGGCTCTGCTGCTGCTGCGGCTTTGCTGGCGTTGGGGGGACGTCCGACTGGATTTCCTGTTGATGTCTTGACCTTTTTGGGTTTGCTTTCTGCGGCGGCGGCGGCGGGCTTGGGTGGCTTGACCACTGAGACTTTGCCTGACGCGGTGAGGCCGCTGTTGATGTTCTTGATAGCACTTGTTGTGCCGCTTTTGAACGTTAAGGATTTGTGTTTTGGAGGCGGCGGCGGTAGCGGTAGTGAGAGGTTTGTTGAGCTTGAACCCAAGGCAGCAGATGATGGTATTGTCCTTGGCAGAGAAAGGTTCTTGACTGTCGTCGTCGGTGCTGGTGTTGGCATCTTAATGCTCGGCAGGATCAGGGGCATTTTTAAGCTCATGGAAGTTGAGGTTTTCAGCCCCGTGCCCGCAACCAGCCTCTTCTTCGCGTCCTCGAACGTATCTTGCTCAAGCTTGATAGTTGTAGAACTGCTGCCCGTGAGCACTGTCGTTTTCGATGATACGACTGAACTGAAACTGCCGCCGCCATCATTCTTTCCCTCCTTGGCCTTCAGACGCTGGAGGATGAGTTGAGTAGCGGCCGAGAACTGTGGTACGTATGGCCGTGCCGACGAGGTGGATGCGGAGGACGAAATGGTGGGCCCCGAACCGGGAGTCGGAGTCGGAGTCGGCGTCGAGATAGCCGGCGTTGTCGGCTTCGACGCCGGTTGTGGTGTCTGGTCTGTCATGGTGGTGAATGTTGGATGTAAAGATAGGCGGGTGTGTTATATGGTGGTCATAATCTGACCTGATACACGATCGGTGTTAGTGGTTGGTTGCGACTGACATCTGGAGTATGCGCAGACTTACTAATGATATCGTGCTGTGTTCATGACTACTCTTCTGCCGAAAATGTCACGAAATCCTCCTTCTGATTTTTGTCGAATAACTCTCCATGACACACCTTTCCACGAGAAAGAATTTTTCGTCGCTGTGCATGAAGAGAAAAAGAAGTGGGAGAACCTGAAAAGCGGGAGTTGAAGGAAGTGAATGGTGTCGCGGCTTCCCGAAAATGGGATGTCTAGAACCTGGGCTTGAACATGGGGAGGCCGGAAGGGCATTCACAGTGCAGTTGTAGCTCACTGTAGCGACAGCATTGACCACACGTGAGACGCACGTATTACCCTAACCCTTCCACTCGTCAAAACAAAATCGAACGATGTTGTAGGGGCATCCTTCATTTTGGATGCTGCGCTAACAACAACTCGACAAGTATAAACCACCCATCTACACTACCACGATAACCATTACCTAACCACTCCCTTCTCCTTCAGCTGCCGTATTTGCTCGTCGCTCAAGCCTACATGCTCCCTCAAGACCTCGTCGGTATGCTGTCCTAGTGTAGGTGGCGGACTTCTAATCGTGGGACTCGTCTCCGAGTACTTGACAGGCGAGTTCACCATCTTGATGGGCCCGCACTCTTCATGCTCTACCTCAACCACCATGTTGCGAGCAAGGGTGTGCTCGTGAGTGAGGGTGGTGAAAACGTCATTAATCGCAGCATAGGGCATGCCTTTACCCTCAAAGATGTCAAGCCATTCTTGAGTGGTCTTGGTCTTTGTGGTCTTCTCGATCTCCGCCTCAAGCCCGACCCGGTTCGCTACCCGCTGCGCGTTAATCTTGTACTTTGGATCATCCTTCCATTCCGGACGACCCAGCCCGTCGCATAAGATTCCGAACAAGCGGTCGTTCCCTCCGCCCAAGAGAATGTCGCCATCCTTGGTTTCGAATGCCTTGTATGGAACAATTGAGGCTACTGTTGTTAGTGGTCCGTCGCTCAAGAGAAGGATCGAAAATGGGACACTTACGATGGGCCGTTCCCCACCGACCAGAGTCTTTTTTTCCACTGATCAAGCAGCTGCTTGCGATGTTCGCCAGGGTGGCCGTCTGGCAGTCGCTCAAGCACGCATCAATCCATTGTCCTCTGCCGGTTTTGGCACGGGCAAGCAAGGCCGCCATGATACTGTTGCTCGTATACAATCCGGTGGTGAGATCCGTCACGGCCACGCCAACCTTGACCGGTGGCCCATCCCTACTGCCGGTGATGTGCATGAGGCCAAACTCGGCTTCCACCATAACATCGTAGCCAGCCCGACTTGAGTACGGCCCAGTCTGTCCGTAGCCGGTAATGGATGCGTAGATGAGTGCTGGGTTAATCTGGCGGAGGGTCTCATAGTCCAAGCCGTACTTCTTGAGCGATCCGGGGACGTAGTTTTCCACGAGGATGTCACACTTGGACGCCAACTTTTGCAGAATCTCCACGCCCGCTGGATCTTGGAATGAAAGGGCAAGCGACTTCTTGTTTCGGTTGACTCCTAGGAAGTACGCCGATTCACCCGGTCCCTCCATGGACGAACCGGACTTGTAGCTGGCATACGGTGGCCCCCATGCTCGAGTATCATCACCTCTTACGGGATGTTCGACCTTGATTACTTCTGCGCTCAAAGGGTCTCAGCTGGGGCTCTGACAGTTCGGGGCCGATAGACTCACCCAAGATCTCCTAGAATTTGTGTACAGTAAGGCTGTATGGAAGATCATGTTAGCTCATCCTGGCCTAAGGGTAAGTTGCCTTGCCTTCTTACCCCAGCCAGCACTCTGGTCATGTCTAGCACACGATAACCCTCAAGAGGAAGCGTTCCATCAGCGGAACGGACTGAGGAGCTGGCGAAGCAACGGCGAGTTGTCGCCGGAATAGAGCGGCTCAGCGCCGTAGCACGGGCGGCCTTGAACAAACTGCGGTGCATCATATCGTACAGAGTCTACCACGACAAAACAAGAACCAAAGTATCATGAATGCTACTTTATACCACATGGGCTCCGTGGCGATCGGTGGAGAATAACGGAAGCTATTCCCGTTCCTTCCCCGCAGTCCCGGCGGTCCAGCCACCGGATCCCGAGGTTTACAGTGCACCTTCCAGCGCCATTCCGGTATTGGAACGGCAGGCGCCCACAAACTCAGCGGCATCGGCCACGATAAGGCGAGCCCCACCGATGCCGCAGTAGTATCGTTATTCGGGATGATAGTAGACAAGACACTTGAGTTCATCATTGAAAGTGGACATTGAGTATATGTTCTTCTTGTGGTGTGATGGAAACGATGGCGCCATGACCGTATGCGCCATATTGAAGCGGCTCTACCAAGGCAAGGAGGGACACTGTGCCTATCCGCGGTCTCGAGATGTAGACAACTGGTTCACAGCTGGTCAACAAAAAAAGTCACAAGGCAGCTAACCCAAAATATGAAATCAACATATTTCATAAGTTGTATATGAGTCTCGACTTCATTGTTTTTGTGTTAACGTCAACTCCAACTTCCTGCATTATCGTTGAACACTTGTAGAAGGTTGACAGCTGCCAATCAGCTGACCAATCAGAACGCTCGTTTCGTCTCGCCTGAACGTTCTTTCTCAACTTTTCCACAGCGCGTCTTGGGGGAGTCCACCTGTCCATCAATTACACCTGATATCATCCATCATCGAAACCCATCGCCACTGTCCATCGTCTTACTTATCTCGACCACATTTCTGCCACGGCACACACACATACCAAACTTCAAGCCGACACAAATTCTAGCCTGACAAGAAGAAATACAACAACACCGAGAACAACATGGATTACCAGAACCGCGCGGGCTCCAAATTCGGCGGCGGCGGCGTAGCCTCCCACTCCGCCACCAACGCCGACCGCCGCGAGCGTCTGCGCAAGCTCGCCCTCGAGACTATCGATCTCGACAAGGACCCCTACATCTTCCGCAACCATCTCGGCTCCTTCGAGTGCCGTCTCTGCCTGACAGTCCATCAAAACGACGGCTCCTACCTCGCCCACACCCAAGGCAAGAAGCATCAGACGAACCTAGCGCGCCGCGCCGCCCGCGAGCAAAAGGAAGGCAAAGGCGAAGTCGACCCCCAAACGGGTCTACCCGTCGGCGTCGTCGGCGCGGGTTTCGCCGCGCTCGGCTTAGGTGCCGGCGGCGTGCGCAAGAACGTGGTCAAGATCGGTCGACCCGGATACAAGATCACGAAAGTGCGCGACCCCATCACCCGCCAGCAGGGATTGCTGTTCCAGCTGCAGTACCCGGATATTGCGACGGGCGTCACGCCCAAGTGGCAGGTCATGAGCGCGTTCAGCCAAAGGGTCGAGGAGCCCGACAGGAACTACCAGTACCTCCTGGTGGCGGCGGAGCCGTACGAGACGTGCGGGTTCAAGATCCCGGCGCGCGAGCTGGACAAGCGCGAGGACAAGCAGTTTGAGTTTTGGGACCCGGATAGCAAGGAGTACTGGGTGCAGATCATGTTCATGACGGAGCGCGAGGAGCGGTTTAATGCGGCGCCTGGGTTGACGGGGAGGAGGTGATTTGGTTTACTCTTCTGTTATTGTTTCAGGAGAACGGTTCTTTCTGGTTCGAATGGGGAAAATATGCTTGGAGTTTACGGCGTTCTCTGTCATTATTCGTGTCACGGTCAGCGCCGCTTCGGCTTCCCGGACGTACCCGAAGTCACATTGAGGTCGCATGAGGACCCTTCCCGCTAGAAAGAGGATGGAAGGGGGATGTATGATCACTGGAAGTTGCGTCGCGGAACAGGTCACGATCCGGTCATCGGCCTTCGTCCAACGGCGACCTGACTTGGCATTACGCAAATCCAAGGATGCTTTAGACGTACGGCCTGTCTGAAGCACGACGATGGCCGTTGAGCATGGGCGACGAATCCGGACCGCTCGCAACCGCACAGGGAAACGGGGCATTTGGTACGGACGGACATCTTCGCACGGGCCGGGGACTTGCACGATACCAACATCACCGACAGAAAGGAGTTTGAGATTGTTGTAAGGCTATATATACAGACTCGGAGTTGCGTGTTCCCTCCAAGCTGACATATAAAACAGACCCGATGAGCGGACATTACGCCCATTGTCGCGTTCTCTCAATGCCACCGTGAGTGCATCTTTTTCTTCCTCGATACTTGGTGATGTGAAGTGACTTGTATGCTGTCTCACCGGTGAAGTAGGCGACACAGATAGTTTTGCTACCGTAGCTCGTAGATGTCTGTCACAACTCCACGTTCAATTCTCTATGTACAACGAAACCTTCTCTAGACTACGTAATCAAACAGAGCAAAGGAGCGCTGCACTAACAGCCTCCTCCCATCTCGTAATACATGCTTCCGAACCCATCCAAAGACCCCTTAAAAACCAAGCTCAGATCTGCCTTTTGTACATCATTGTCGAGAGCAAGTGGTATTGCGAAAAGACAACAGCACAAGCAAGGAGAGGCGAGCGAGCCGAGCCCCGGGAAGGGCTTCGATCTTGCAACAAAACCAAAACCACGACGGCACGGAGCCCAGCAAAATACGCAAGCCCTTCACAAGCAAGGGTTGTCGGATTTGGTTGGACCGGTGACTCGGAAGTATCTGTAAGAATCATCACCGCAAGGTTCTAGGGGTCTTGGACTATTCCCAGATTCGGATTTGGAAGCAAGCCGTAGAGTGGGTGGACTGAACTCGGTCCATGGGGATTTTGGCTTTAAGAAATCAGGGTGGTTCCCTTTACCCGTCCGCTTTCCATCTTGGCGGTTCTTGCGCCGAATTGAATCTGTGTTTAGAGACATCAGTCAGCATATGCTTTCATCGCAATGAGACCCGGGGGAATGTGCCAAACTTACAGCCCTCTTCTTCTCCTTCGCCACACCTTCCATACCCAACTCCAGAGCAAGCAGCCTCAAAACTCTCTTGCCAGCCTCGACTTCCCCTCCCTCATTCTCAAAGTCACACTTCTCCCACGCCGGCGTGTCCATCGCCCACCTGACCAGCCTCTCGTCCAGATAAGGAAACCTCACCTCCTTACTCCAGTGCGACATGGCCCGATCATCTCGACCAAGGTTCCGCTTGCCCAGACGACCAACGTCTAGCAAGAGTTCGTCAACAAGGCCGGCGTACCCGGCCCGCTCATAGGCGGACGGGTGGCGGGAGTAACCGCCGAAGAGCTCGTCAGCTCCCAGGCCCGACAGGAGGACGCGGGCGGGGGAGGTGTACTGCTCCTCCACCCGGCCGTCCAGGTGGGTGCACGAGCCTTGGCCGCGGGCGGCGAAGTAGAGGGCGTAGCCGATGGAGAGATCCATTTCGGTGTTGTGCGGGTAGATGAGGGAGATGACCTGTTGGCGGTGGGAAAGGGTTTCGGTGTAGGGGACGTTTACCTGGTAGGAACCAAACATGTTAGAGAAAATGTAACGGTGTGAATGATGAAGATAATAGCGAACGGAAAACAAGAGCTCGACGGCAACTTACAGCTACAAACCGAAAGGCCCGTCCAGGACAGACTCTCTGCAGCTCGGCGAACGATTTCCTGCCAGTAATTCTGTCGGGACAGGCCTCGTAGAAGTCGATGCTATCGACATCGACCTCACCATTGCCGCCGTTGTTCTTGGCATGATCCTTGCGCAGCTGGGCTACAACGCGCGGGTTTTCAAACGCCACGTTCAGGAGATCGATCCCTTGCTCCGGGTCCATGACCTCGTGGGCCAGTCTTGCAAGGACGGTGCAATCCAGACCTCCGGAGAAGAGCACCGCGACGCGAGTGTCGTGTGCCACCTTGTCTGCACCTGGAGGCTGTGGGATGTTGAGGACGCGCAGAGACAGGGAGTCGATAAGTTGTTGCTTCAGCGCCGCCACCGAGGGCGAAGTCGCTGACAGTGGCGCGTAGCCTGAGGCGGGAGGGAGAGACTTGTTGAATCTGCCTATGCTGGAAACCTGTAGAGAGAGAGAGTAGTGAGTTTGAACAACACCCTTACCCATGTATAGCCATGCCGCGCGGATTCGAAGATACGAAATGCAACACAGGAAAATCACAGACGGCAACGCAAGGTACTCACAAACTCGGCGGGGTCAACGCCCTCGATCCAATCCCTCCGCAATGGCTCCAACACCGCAGGTGTTACACCCTCGCCTGACGAAGGCAACAAGCCCAAATCAAGCACATAAATCCCATCAGCCTCCACCTCCTTCCACCCGATGGCAGTAGCATTGGCAGTAGCGTTGGCGTTGTCACCACCACCAGCCACCCCCTCCGCAACACTCGAAAACACCACCTCTCCGGTTCGCTCATCCCTCTTCATCATAAGCGACCTCCTTCCCAGCCGGTCCCTACCAAAGAAAACTTTGCGGCCCGCTTCATGCCAGTAAACAAAGGCAAACGGACCTTCAATGGCCCGGAAAACATCCAGAATTTTCTTTTCTTTTTCCTCCTCTGTTGAAGAAGTAGCAGTAGCAGAAGCACTAGCTTCCACTTCCCTCAACAGCCGCCAAATCTCCTCTCCATCGTTGCCACTGACGGGTTCACCATTGATGCGCCACGCCTCACCGTTCCAGCAGAGTACGGAACCTTTGTCCGTGTCTGGGCAGGAGAGAGGCTGTTTGGCGACGTGGTCGCCGCGGAGAGCGAGGACGGTGGATGTGAGCTTTAATTTCCAGCTGTCCGAGGAGTCACTGGTGGTTGAAGAGGAGGAGGTGACGCGCCTCTCAACCTGGCCGAGGTAATCTGGACCGCGGTTGCAGAGACAGCGGGTTAGGTCTGGGGAGGCGGTGTGGGTGATGCCCGGGGGAGTGAGGACGGCGTGGATGCCGCACATTGTGGGCGGAGATGATGGTGGAATGAAGACAAAATGGAGGGGTTTGGAGGGGTGAGCGTTGTGCAGTTGAGATTTGGCTCGCGCAACGTGAGGTTGAAGGCCAATGTGCATAAGACGTCCGTGCGTGTAGTGCGATGAAGTGCTTAGTCAGCGGACTGAAATTTGAGAGCCGCATTCAACGGCGTCAACAAGATGCATGAAATGTCAGGAAGAAGACCCTCAGATATGAATTTGTATATCGTATGTCACTGAAAGTGAGTGGTCTGATGGATGCAGGGTCTGAACCAGAAATGGCCATGCAAAAGAGAAAGCCAAAAAGACAAAAAAGAGAACGGAAATTTGAGACAAGAAAGACAGGCTGAGAGACCTCCGGCAACGAAGGAAAAAAGTTAAGAAAAAAAGAAGATTTTAGCTGCAACTCGTTTCGATCGAGTGACCTCCGGGTTATGAGCCCGGCGCGCTTCCGCTGCGCCATGCAGCTTTTTGAGCTGTTGATGAAACGTCATCTGGACGAAACCTTTAAGTATGGCTCTATGAGTCACAGTCAGGTGGAAATTCCCAGGTGTCTCTCGGGAGATGTTTGAGCCGAACACGGAACGCAACGCACAATAGCAGATGGCGAACAAAGGTATCAAAGGTATCACCAACCAATGGTAACAAGAAGTTTAAACAAATGGTGTCTAATCATGTATCGATAAGTGGTATCTCAGGCTGTATTAATTCGATAACCCCCAACCGTACGTTCCCATACTCCCAGCCCCTCAATGTCAAGACTCAATCATTGAGCCCTCCAAGGCGCCAACACGCATTGCGAGCGTGAACTGACTGCTGCATTCCTGTCTAGTGTTCTGTGAAAGGATGGTGTCCAGTGTTTACTGGTCTGGCTTTGGAAACCTGCTTCTCTACAGCCAAGCCAACTTCCACCTATTCAAGTCTTTGCCCATTTACGCTGACAGGGCGAGACAAGCGTCGACAGCCAAACCAACCCTACGAGAAAGTGTCAGCTAAAACTCTTCGGATAGTGTGAAAGGTAGTAGGGGTACTCACCTTCCCTCCTTCTGATATACCACGTCGCTGATGATTTCACGATCGAGATCTGGAAACATGCCTGCAAGTGTTTCCACTACAGTGGCATGTTCAGCACGGAACAGTCGTTGTGCCTCAGCAGCTTCGGCACTAGCCTGCCTTGCAGCCGCCTCTTCAGCAGATAATCTCTGGCGACGAGCTTCCTGCTCTGGTAGAGGCGTGTGGGCCGGGCTAGGGACATCTTGGTCTGCTGATGAAGATGCCCCTTCGTCAGAGAATATTCCGGCGATGGTGCTCAAAGGTTTCTGGATTGTGCGTAGCAGTCCTGCTATAGCCGCCTTTTCCTCATTCCCACCATATTCACTGCTTTCTCTGGCCTCATTGGAAGAGCTAGACCGGCGCGGTGTTGCAGGACCGCCAACATCAAGCGAGGCGCGGACTTGTGATGACTCTCCAGCACTTAACGTTGGCACGGCAGCTGACTTCTCAGAGTGCACTGGCGGCGGGGGTGACTCAGCCCTGTGCTTTTCCGCAATGGCAGACACCGCAGCCTCCACGTTCTTCTCAAACTCCTCGTCCGTAATGGTCAGTGTCGTTCGGTCCATACTCTCAATGAACTGAATTGCTCCCATCTAGAGAAGGTTAGTAGGTGAAAATCGGACAGCGTCATGCCAGTAACTGACCAGAGAGGAGAGGTAGTAGCCGGCTTCTCCGCCGAGCTTGTCTTGATTGCGGAATCTGAGGATGTATTGGACGTTAGACACCAAGTGCTCCGCGTTGGCCTGGAGCACAACATAAATGAGCATCGGCATGAACGAGTCCGCCGACCCGTCGGATTTTGAGTGCTTAAGGAGACCAAATATGACCTTGCAGCAGTTCAAGACACATATTATCTTGTCTCGCGGTGCGCGGTATGACTTGATCTTCAGGAGCTCTGCGGTTTTGTCAGCTTTGTCAGCGATAGCCACCCATCGAGAAGCCATAATAGTTCTCACCTTGTTGTGCCAGCTTGAGGAACCGTTTCCCGCTTTCACTAACCGGAGGAATATCAAGATGTTCCTCTCTTACCCAGTGGTAAATGTTGATCTTCTGAGAAAGAACCTCATCCCGTTCAACATCTTCCTGGTGCTGTCCACGCCGTCCTGGTCCCATTGGCCGTTCCCCACGCCACCCCTTGTTTTTGGCGCCAGGAATCGGTTGTGGTGGAGGTATTGCGGGAGAGAACGTTTGGGTATAAAGTCGGTTCATGACAAGCTTCTCCATTCCTTCCCTCGCATTGTCGAACTCAGCATCTGACACGCTCCTCCATACCTCGCACTGTGCCATCTTGTTTGAAATAAATGCGAGGAAGTCGCTGATGATTTTGACCTGCTCATGGACCATCCATTGCCTCTTGCCGAATTCGAACAGGAAAGACTTTAGGTATCTTGCAACGGGATCGGCCTTCTTGTTTCGGAGCTGTTCGACGAAGCGATGGAAATCGAATGGTAACGGCGGCTCTGGCTCTGGTTCGGGAGGAGGAGGGCGATGAAGCGAGGTCGTGGGAGACATTGGCGAATCAAGGCTCTGAACGCTATGGCGTTTTTGAGCCTGTGATGGACTGCCGCCGGTATGGAACGGGTCGTCTTTTGGAGGGACTGGGGGAGCCAGCTCTTCCCTGCCCTTTTCCTTCAGAGGCGTCGTCGCAGGAGATGTGCTTGACAAGCTCAAGCCTTGCAAGTCCTGAAGTTGCTGGACCATAGAGGGGGCAAGTGGTTCGAGGCTCGATTTGCGGGGCGGATATTGTACGGGACTGGCCAGCAAAGGCGACGCCATCTCTAACCTGGGGCTCATGACTTCCTCTGCGCCGGGGCCTCCACCTCCTTCGCTGAACTGCTCCATGATGCTCTGCAGCTCGGACCTGGACCCGCTCTCACGCTCGTCGTCACTTGCATATTTCTTGTCATCGTATGCGGCGTCCGACCTAGTGGGTGATACGTCGTCGGACCCGGAGCCACGTCTCGATCGCGGAGGAGCTATAGAGGGGCTTCGAGAAGGAGGTTGCGAGACCGCCGGGGTGGGTGGGGTGGGGTCGATGTACGTCCGAGATTCAATCGTAAGGTACTGCGTGGCAGTCGTTGTGGTTGGAGAGGTGGTGGGCTTTAGGGTAGCAACCGAGGACATCAAGTCGGTCTCTTCTTGTTGGGTTTCTTTCGCATCCTCTCCGTCCATGACAACATCTGTACTCGGTTCAGGGGCAGTCGAGGCCGTCGATGACGCGACTACCTCTTGTTCGGAGTCGGCATTCGTAGGGGCATGTTTGGGGACGCCAAGCTGGCTCTCGGGGTCGGATGTTTGGTCGTGAGGCGACATGCAAAAGACTGGAGCGAGGACGGCGCGGTGGGCGTTGATACGAAGTGCTGAGTCGCAAGTGTTGATTGGGGAGCCGAACGTGGGCTTGGAGGGTTCGGGCAGAAAGACAGCAAGCAAGTGTGGGTTCAAACTAGCTTAACGTTGCCAGGATTGCTGCAGGCGGGCTTCCACTTGGGCGAGTCTATCAAGGTTTCTGGTAGCTATCACAAGAGCTGTTTCAGTCGGCAAAATAACCACTCCGGAACGGCCGTACGTATGTGTTTAGGGGCGATCGTCGGGGACTTGGCCGAGTAAAGAAAACAGAGTTCTTGTCGGCGGCAAGGGAAGTGTCAGCGTTGGCGGGTTTGGCCGAGTGTTGGGTTGGATGAGAGTCAGGCCCAGAGAGAGTGTGTGCATGTCACGAATTTGCGAGGTCAAGTTCTGGCGTACGACATCAAGGCATGCGGGCATGTCGATTCCTCTACGTAGGTTGCTGCGCCCATGCCACCATTTCCTGGCGGTCCTGTTACAAACAGCACAGGGGGCAGGCAAGGCAGTAAGGTGCGGCCCCGCAGCGCTAGACTAGATAAGCACTTAGCGTCAGAGTGATTTCCGTAGCGTATTATGCTGGTCTGTGCGCACATCTCAAACCGCCTCGGCCACCCAGCTATACCACCCGGACATCATCCACTGCAATAATGCGACCAGTGTTTCACAAAAGGGGACGCTTATGAACAGCGTGATGAGCTGTTAACTTTGGGAGTTCTAGTATCATCCGCTACCATCCTCGAGCATGTCCGATCACATCGCAAGCGAGTCCGGGCTGGCCTACCGAAGGAGCCCCGCCACGCCCGGTAGCGTCTCCGGAGCTGGATCTTGGCAGGGCTGAACGCTGTCCGAGCCCCGGCTTCGTGTGTCGCAGCCCCGGACCCACTCACATTGGTTACGTACCGGTGCCGGCCCGGGCAACCGTCACGGAAGGTCGGATTCAAAGCAAATCTCTCAACTCCAACGCTGTATCAACATTCATCGCTGACCTCGACTTTTGAGATTTCTCTTCCGGCACACCATTAAATGAAGTCGTCGACGCACTCGCCATTAGGACTCCAACCAAGATAATGAACCATATAAGGCCTCGAGCCTAATGCGACCCATCCTTTAGCTTTTCTTTGGTCTTTGGCTGAGACTCATACAACGCATCGCCAAAAAGTCAACTGACTTGCATGCGAGTGATAACCCAACCTAACCCACCACAACGCACCAACAGGCCACTCATGCCGCTGTACCCGCATAGCAGAGACCGGGACGACAATTCGGAGCTTCTTTTATCATGTTGTCGTCTACGTACTCTGCCTCACCACATTTGGTATGCTATAAGTCGGAACAAAGTAGGGCCATGGCCTCCCCAGGAATTCCCCAAGAATCATCGTACGCTATCTTTCCTTTCTCGTAAAATCACGCTCGCGAGAAGCACGGTTCGTAGCAAAGAAGGACCTGGCAGTTTATCTTACACTTCACAGTTAAAGACAGCCGGTCAAAGGGACGGGAAAGGAAACAAGCCACAGGGGTGAACCGGGGGTTTATCGTTTGTGTTTATTGCGGATATATGCAGTTCCTATATACCGAGACCGGAACTCAAAGAGCTGCAACGCTCAATGAACATAGAGGTGCATCCGCAGCTGGTCTCCAAAGTCGGTAATAATTCTCCAGGTGCCAGAGGAAGTTCGGGGCCCGCGGCCGGTGGGCAGTTTCGTCCAAATCCATTCCAATCATCGTACCCGCCGTCATACTCAACCAAGTCTTACTGCGGAGGCTCCCTCATCGCAGGCCCCAAGGCTCTGATCGCTTTCTTGATAAATGCTTCGAGAGCCAGAGCTTTATGGAACTCCACCCACTCGTCTGAGCCCTCTGAAGGGTTCATCGCCCATAGCGTGTCGGCCCTGACCTTCGCCCTTTCCTCCTGCTCTCCCAGATAGCTCGAGACGAGTTCGCTTCGTCTTTCGATCAACCTCTCCAGGCGCTCACATCGTTCAGTTTCCTCCCTTAGGTCGTACTGGGCGGCTCTTAAGCGTCTCTCTAGCTCTTGCAGGCTTGGGGTGTCTCCGGGGAAAATTGAAGAGCGACGAGGCATCTTGAACGGTAGTTGAAGGTGATGGTGTGATGAAGGTGTTGATGCCTATGCCAAGGGTTGCTTAAGAGCTCGGTTAGTACAAGGAAGAATGGGAAGAGGTAGGGGTTTCTCGAAAGTACCTCGTACTTCAAGTGGTGATGAAGAGTGACTTCGATGATTGCGCTTGGGACAGAAAAATAGCAAGCAGCTCGCCGTGGTACTTGACCTTGAGGTTATATACACATTGTGTGCGACATACTCCTTTCCAGTATGGCACAGAGGAGCCTCGCCCTTCACTTATGGATCGTCACTCGGTTTGTTCTGTCTCGATCATTCTCGGTCATTGCAAGATCTCACTTGCTGTGAATCACTGATTTGTGAACTCCAGTTCTTACACTCAGACATGTATGTATATTCCTCGAATATCATGGCTAACACTGTGACATACGTCGCGGTTGGAGAGGTGCCAACAACTTTCAAGGTGTTTGTCAACAGCTACCGGACCTCAATCGAGACATTAAACGATATTCATCCATAAAACTGGGGGAACAGAAGTGTTATAGATAACGCTATATCCAAGCCGTCTTATCTCCATCACATCCTTGTCACAGGAGGATTAAGTCGCACCACGACACATGCTCATCTTGGGTAACTACCTACGGATGGAGGGCTCGATCGTGGGTTCGGAACTCATTAGAATGACCAAAGGCCTAAAGAAGACTCAAAAGCTAGGAAATAGCCCATCCGCTCCACTACCGAGCAAGTAACACACCGCCAATGTTTCCATCCCATCATCCCAAGCCATCGTCTTCAACATCGACCGCCATCCGTTCGTTCCCCTGTTCCGCCACAAGCCATGACTGCTCGCTGGTAGCCATCAACGAATTCCCACCCCTATCATACGAAGCCACGCGGGCGACCAACTCCCGCCTCTCCCTAAACAATATCTCCTCTTCTTTGAGTTCCTTCTTCGTCCTCACAAGCTGCTCCCGCCATACTCTGAGGTCCCGCTCGGCTGCCACGATCCAAACGGCTCGGAAATAGGCCTTATGCGCCTCAAGGTTTCGGATCAGGTGTTCTTGGTTGTTAATACTATCTCGGAGCCGTTTGATGTTCTTCAGCTGGAAAGTGGACATGGATGCCGGTCGGGTAGGGACGGGGAATGTCCGACGCCGTTGGCTATTTCTGTTTGTCTGTATTGTCGGCGACCGTCTTCCGCGCGAGGAAGCGGTAGAGCTGATGGTTTTTATATTGGACTAAGATGGCAATGCTCGTCTAACGCCTGATCAAGAGCTAACGTCTTATAAACCTCATTCCCGCATGTGAGCCAGTCGATGGCTACCTCTATTGATAGATGACGCCCAGCCTAGAGCCAGTGAGTCTCAAGAAGGGGCACATTCACAGGCAGGTGCATCACTCGGAATCTTTTGTACTTGCATCACGTTGTAGGATGGCTCTCTCACGGGGATAAGGGCGCCCTGGTGCATCAGATACCCATACTTTTCATTGTCGCACCATATCTTCGCTCATTCCTGTGAATGACTCTGTACAATTATAAACCTTCTTCACTGTCCCAAGGTTCATACCGGTTAGATTATACCGTTTGGTCAGAGTTCTGGCAATCAGTTAAGTGAATTCGATCTAACGCGTGTCTGATACCCAATATCGAATTCGGCTTCACTGGTAATTTCGGTGCTATGTTGAGCTACCAACCCAATAGCTCTGACTATTTACGCCATCAGGAAACGCGCTGATGTATTGATGGGGATGACGCCTCACCGTACCTTCAGCCCTAACCGTCGTTGAAACGATCAGTCCTCCTGCAAACTGGTGTGTCAACAACAGGGTCACCCAGAAGCTATGACAGTCAACGCAAACGAAGGGGCGAATCGAAAATAAGTGCACTCAGCAAGTACAAAAGCGGTATGATCCCTCAGTTCCCAGCTTTTACCGGGTCTTGATCTCTCATTAGAAAATAAGCACTTCTAGGATCTCGCCCACCTCAATTCCAAAGAATAGAACCCGCCCTCCTCTCATCTTGCCTGAATCGGTACCAGCAACAACGATGACCGAGGAAATCAATGCAGGCCCCAAAGCTATAGAGGCCTTGAAGAATTTTCACAGTGTCCTCAATGGCCCTCCCCATTTTCAACCAAAATGGAAAGGGGATTTCGAGCATCTGGTTGAGTGGGCAACGGATTTTGTCGTCCAGGAGAAGAAGAGCGCGGAGAAGAGTCGAGTCACAGGAGACGGACCTGAGGAGAACGCGGGAGATGGACAGCAAAATAAAGAACTGCAGCAACAGTAACCGCTCTCAGAACAGACAAGACCACAGGCCAAACCGGTATGTGATCAAGAGCCCGACCGCCAGGAAAATCCCGAAACCACTCAAGCTTCCCGCCTCTCCGATTTCTTCAATCGCACTCCCGACTGGGTAGTCACGTACTTCTTCAATGCACAGAAGTATCCGCGTCTAGAGACAATAGTCCGCTCCATGAAGGAGGTGAAGGTGGCAAGATACCAAGATCAGATAGCCGAGCTGGCGGAATTCGTTGACTCTGTGCTGGATCACGAAGACGAAGACATGCCGCATGAAGAAGAACTGCACGTGGTAAAGCAGAAACTGTCGGAAGTCAAGACTTTCCTGGAGGACCTCAGAATGGACAAGGCCCGCAGCGCTTCGGGGCACCAGTCCCAACAGATCGTAGTAGTCTGTAAAGGCTGCATATCGCAATTCATAACCAACCCAGAACAGCTCAGAGAGATGGGCATAGAAGAAGGATCAGAAGAAGAAGCAGAATTCGCTGAATTTGCAGAATGGTTGTGGAAGCAGGTATGGGAAGAGGAAGTGGGGAAAAGTGGCTATACATCCCTTCACGACGTTGCCTCAGATCTCAACAGCTTCGTGTCCCCCTTCAGCGAATACCTGTTTCTGCAAGACGCCAACCACATGCTTTCCATCGAGCGTCTCAAATCTGTCACGGCTTCACAGAACGGCCAGGCCACCATTCTCCCCAAGAGCGACATGGCTTACCAGAATACCAACGAAGCAAAACGCAATGCTGGTGACCATCTGCCCACTCTGCGCAGGTGGATTGATTCTTTGGGTAGACGCCTTCGTCGCTCTTAGAGATTGATCTCCGTCACAATTTTGAGTCTTCCAAGGACCAGACACTACATTTCAATCGCCATTCCCTACTAGTCGTTGCACTTGCAGCCACAGCACCTCAAAGTCCCCATCCGTGGTCAATTTTCAAGCATCTCAAGCCTTGCTGAGTGGGATGTTCAAGATATGACTTGCTCAACGAACTAGCAGGAAGAGAGGGGGGTTTAGGCGTCTAGGGAGACAACTTTCAAGTCAAGTGAAGGGGAGAGAACCGTTGGGAATCCAAGAGAGGAATGGGCTCCGGGAGCTTGAAATCAAGGAGCAGGATATGGTGCTTGAGTTGCAGGAGAAGGAGATGAGTGATAGGGAGAAGGTTTTGAGGGAACGTGAGGAGAAGATGGGGTTGTGAGTAATGAATCGGGGGGAATAGTCCAGGGAAGGAAGGTAGGAAGGAATGGAGGGGTTAAGATCCTTTGATGATGAGATGAAGGGAATACGAATTTGATGGCATAAGCATTGGAAGAAAGGACTCAGCTTGAACTTAAGTGATGCCACTGGGCTCGCAGTCAAGAGGAGGCGGGGAAAAAAGGCTTCAATGAAGCTGGAGCGCTCAAACATCAGCTTCTGCTCATGGCCAGGAGGGAATGGTACGAAGGGAATAGTTCAGGAAGTGGAAGAGATGAAACAAAACATTTGTGCGCACGAAACTCAATACTGGTATGCCCTGTGGAGTGACGCTTGGTGTTTTCCTCTGAAATGTGGAAATCATCTACTGTCTTCAGGGAAGTTACGATAGCAAGCAGAATCATCAGAGCTGGTAGCTCCTTCCGTGGTTACGAGCTGTCTTGACTCGTACCTTCCCGCTGCGGCTTACAGTGGTTTCTTCTTACCCAAAACATTCGCAGTTCAACTCCCTGTGTTCCTTCCCCATCAACGCAACCTCTGCTTTTCTGATCTATCTCTTCCTTTCCACATTGGCCAGACACTTCGGGCCATCTCGGAGTCAGGAAAATTTCGCAGTAGACTGAGAACAGCAAGTCAGAAGCTGTGAAGAGAAACGTGATCTGCCGTGATTTGAGATTTGGCGAGTGTGTCATCCTTGCTTACGCATCACCGTCAAACAGCATGTGTTCCAACGGCAGAGACCGGGCAGTGTCTTTCGCAGTCGAGTTTGTGGGTTAGGTGAGATCATCATCCACTTCGCCTCCTACTTTTTAACCTCTCGCCACGTTTATCTGTTTCAGTTCTAGACCAAATGGGATCTTCCACATCTGACCACTTGTCGTGATACTGTGGATGCTCGTCTACGGTCAATCGCTTGTGTGGTTGTTTTCATCAAGAAGACGTTGAATAAGTGGCCAGGCATCGCATCGAACAGACGGACGTTGTTCCGGTTTAATGACACGGGTCAATTTGAGGAAGTGTCTGGCTGTAGCTTATGCAAACTCTCCCATATCTTCTGTCTGTCGAAGCATGACTGACAAATGATCGAAAGAAACGTGAGTGCAGCTCATCATGATCACGATTGATCTCGAAGCTCTCAGAAGCCGGTCTCATCCATCTCCCCTATCGGGTTTATATCGGATACCCATAACTGATATATCCAACCGTTCCCAGCCGAATATCCGGTTATTTGAGCCAGTAAGACCGTCCTGATATGTAGACTTGATGCGAGGGATGTATTGTCAGTGACAAAGGAAGACGATAATTGTCAGTCAACGGTCGACGTCACCAGGCAGCTCGTGAGTGTCTTTTGACTCGTTCGCAAATCCCGATGCTCTCCCAATGTTGGTTTGGCATGTTTTGTGAATGCGAATCAGAGGAAGGAAAGCACATGTTCTGCCGTCCCGAGAGGCCCAGACCACGCAGATCGGTTCTTCGCAAGCTCGCGACTCGCTTCATATTTCGACGAACATCATTGTGATATTGGTATGGCCGTGAGTGTATCCCACGCATCTGACCAACAACTAGACGGCTTTCCTTCTGCAGAGGACGTAGTATGCCCTGCCTCCTATTCGGAGTTCTTGTATCTGCCATCTTAGAAAGGAAGAACACACAATCATCCCTCTGTTCCCGGGTAGCAAGCGACGGTTTCGAGTTTCGGTATAGACACTCATGTCGCATAAGAGCGGTTCTCTCAAAAGCATTCAATGCATTTCTTTCAGGACACTCGTTCCAGCTTTCCTTCTGATGAACCCTGCTTGAGACCATTTGCCAGTGCGGATTGACCAGCCGACAGAGGCCAAAGAAAGAGAGAAGGTCTCAGAACAGGAGGAATGAAACTCCAGAAAGTCCGCGATAGAAGCCTCTGACTGACACACACACCCGATAGCAACAACGGCTATTCGTCTGTCAGAAATGACAGAGCCCAATAAACACAGCAGCGCATTCTCACGGAGTAAAATCTTGCTCAGAGAATGGTGTAATCTGATCCCCATTCTCTGGTAGGCTCCCCCAAGCCTGGACAGGGAAGCCCCGCTCCTAAGGGTGCAATAAGCCAACGTTAGGCAGGCAGGTGAGTAACCCAAGGTAGGAAATCGGTCCAAATAGGCGACTTGCCTCGATGTTCTGCATATTGCCTATACTCTGCCACATCCTCGCTAAAACCACTCGGTCGCTTTGATGACGAAAAGCGTTGGGCAGGGGACGCAGTGATTTTTGATACCTCAACCGAAAGCCAACGCCGGAAGAAATCGCATTTTGAGCCTTCATGGACGCCTTGTGTTGCTTCGAGTTTATGACAAGGCTCCGGGATTCTTCCTCGCTGTCCACTTGGGCATCGAGCTGAGCCTGTGAGGAAATATTCCTTTAGGATCTCTGAGCCTCATGCGCCCTTTCACCTCTGGAGACCTACCTTTGGAAGTAGACCTACGCCTAGCACGCCTCGGACTATTCCTGGTGAAGATCAGGTTCACCATAACCAGCTCGCTGCAGTAGAGCTTGACCTCGGCGAGGAAGCGCGAGGTACCTACTGTATGTACCTCGATGCTGGGTTGCCCAAAAGGGAGATTCCGCCTCGATTTGATAGGCCAGAGGGCCATGATAAAAGTTGCACAACATGAGAGGGCAATTATCGTTGGACGTCTACGAATGCACCCGAGTACTTCTTCCGCTGTCTATGGTGACCGTACCGGTTAGCTACAGGCATTGTACGCCGTTCACCGAAACAAAGAGCCATCATCACGCATGGCTTGACAGCGGATCGGAGTCCGAAGAGATTCTCAAATCTCAACGTTTGAGTGACACTGCTGCTGAGGACAACTTGAGCCAAAATCATGTGCTGAGATCGACGTTCGTGAGAGGCCAGACCAGAGCGCAAAGGTGAAGAGCAAAAAGCGACCTCAGAGACCTGTGGTCTCAGCGTCACCTGAGAACGTCGCTGCAGCGACGATGGATGCTAACGGGATTGCGGTCCAATCCCAGAGCCGCAGAGATGTGCCTATTCCACCCCAGATCAAATTGAGTACAGTAACGGGATGCCCGTGCATGTATGCAAAATCCGGCGAAGATGCGTGTGACGGGTAGGAGCGTCCAAGGATTTTGCGAGCGAGAGCACCATGCCAATTACTTCAAGCTTGGCCGTGAAGAATTGCCTGCTTTTTATCAAAGGCAATTTATAGGGTCATCAATTTGCTCCATGTGCTGTGCTCGAGTGTCGTGGTGATACGCGTTGCACATCTGCATCCAAATTCTCTCGGGATTTCAAAGAAGCCCCTGAAGGCGTGCAGGACGCCAGCGATATCGGTTGTCTTCCGGTACGCCGGGACATGTTCAACCTGGTGATCACTGCAACGTGCCACTGGTTCAGCAATTGCACGATCGGTTCGAAGCAAGAGGTCTTTGGGGGGCAGGTGAAATCGAGAACCATTTTGACGTCCCGGCAGCTGGGCCGAAGGCATGTGGTCGCTGGTAACCCCAACTCCAACCCACCTCTTGCTTCCGGGTTGGTGGTCTTGGTCGGGGCCCGATATTGTCGGCGAATGAGAGGTTGACACACAGTCAGCGCCGTGATGGTCCGATACGGGCGGACCCCACGGCCCTCGCTGGAGCCTGCAGAGCGAACAGTCGGTTCCAAGTGCGGAGAATCGTCGACCTGCACCAAGCCGTAAACGGTGGTGTCCAGTAGGTCTCCAGTGTGCCGGCCCATGGAAGCTATCGCCATTGAGGCTAGGGGAATTGAGTTGGCTGAACCAAGTCGAATTTGAGCCGGAGGCTAAGCTTGCTGAAACAACCAGGGCTGTGATTTCCAGGCGATCGGAGGGGCTTTCGTAAAAAAAAAAAAAAAAAAAAAGATTTGGAGCTGAAAGACCGATCTGGAATTGAAGCCTTTGTAAAGTGTGTGTACGTATCTGAGTCAGCTATGGTATCGTTGCGAAGGTGAGAAGCACGTTATGGTGGCTCTGGGTTTCGGTCTCCTAAGAAGCTGAAGGTGGAGGTGGCCTGGTGGCCTTGGTGGCTCTTTGGATGGGCCTGGGTGGTGGGTGCTGAAAGCGCGATAACAGCGTCAACTGGATGTATGAGGGGCAGGATACAACATGGCAACTCAATAAATCTTGACGCATCTGATACCGAATGGGTGAAGAGAGAACTGAAGTGATTGCTGTCGGTAGTCAACCATGTTGCTTCCTGAGAGGGAAGATACCCCACGATTTGTGAGCACCTCTGTCCAGTCATGTCTTCACCAGCCTCGCTGAAGAAACATGTGCGCCGCCTCACTCTCACAAATGGGAGCTGTGCCCGTGTGGCTGGAAGTGTTGCTTTCAATACGGCGCCTGGGCACTCTGGATCTCTTCACTGAGTGGTCAAAGTGGTTGTAGTTGGGCATCCGGGCATCGACCAGGTTCTCGTGTGGTTCAGCCCTTGGGCTTCATTCAGTTCCGGCGGCCATTCAGACTTGTGAGAATTGCTGCCACGTACAGACTACATGCGCCTGCTAGGCGTTCTGTATTCTTCCAGCCGCTGAAGCCGTAGCCCTGATTGGCATCCCTTCAGCAACCTCAACGGACTGGGAATAGCGCCAGTTGTTAACCCATGTTAATCACCAGCCGGAAGGACTCTTGTTTGCCGCGATAGGATTCTGTGAGTCCGTCTTGTTGCGCTGTGTAGAGTTATTGTTAGGAGCTGTTAGTACGCCAACCACCGAGATGCTAGAGTCCAGGTTCGATAGACAATCGAGGACAACAGAAGTCTTGGGAAAAGGCATGATGGGTGCCGGAGGGTAGCACGTCGTTGCTGGCATGATAGCCTTGGTTAAGCTGGCTATGTTTAATGTGGTGGAAACGCGATGGCCGATGTCAGGAATCGGCTGTATGAAGACGTTGGGAGGTTGGCGTCATCCGGCAGGGAAATCAAACAAGGTAACAACCTCAAGGCAAAGAGGACGGCCAGTCGGAGCCATTCGGTGGCTTGACGATTGCGGGTTTCGGAATCTGCAAACGGCGGGAAAGACGGTTCCAGTATCATGAAGCAGAGCAACTGCGGAATTACGTCGACGTGAAGATGCTCCGGGCCGAACTTGAATCTTATACTGCGGTGCTCAATGGCAGGTGCTGGATGGTACTCTCGTCGGCAATGGCTCGTGGTCAAGATCATGGCAGATCAACAAGCGATACAACGGGACATTGTGGACATCGGCCGTTATGGAGTACGCAGTCTGTCCATGCCATGACCCAGGCGGGATGAAACGCGATGGATGCATCCACTGCCGAAGTGATCCATAACGAAGAGAGAAACGATCGATGGAAAAGACTCTTGACACTTTTTTGACATGCTCGTTGACAGCTGACGGGGGCTGATGTGAGCCCAAGCCTGTACAACAACAGGTTTTGTATGGCATCTTTGGAAAGTGTAAGAAGAGAAGAGTGAGCTTTGTCTGACAACCAACAGAAACACAGCCTGAACTGAGAGACATCCGCTCTTTCCCAATGGATGTCTTCGGGGAAACCCATCAAATGGGGAAGGCACGATATCGGTAGATTAGTAACACCTCAGGCAGAAATAACCTCAACTGAGTTTTGAGCTCCAACTTGGGAAGGAACTGATGGTGATACTCGCATCCGGGCGCGAGCGGCATCAACGGAATTTCTTTTTCCTTTTTCCTTGTCTTTAGCTGAGACAGTCGAGTCTCTCGTGGCCGTGGCGTGTCTCGTCCGTCTCATCAACTTGTCGAAGTTGTTTCTAGCGTCGTTTCAACAGCCCACCTCGCACGTCGAGAAGCCATCAAGGTGCCGACAGGGTGCATGTGCGCGGGAAAAGGTGGGATGTTGACACCGAATTGGCACGAACTGACAGAGGCTTGTTGGCACTGGTCGGAACACCGCACTACTGCAAGAATTTGACGCACGACAAGGCCGCATGCTGATCTGTCAGTGAACACCTGTTAGCCATTCTGCTTTTATTTCCATATAATCACTAACAATCTATCCTTGGATCTTGGCATGTCAACCAACCATTCTCGCAGTCGCTCCACCACTGCAGAAGTGGTTTCTCACGATGGATTCATTCTTCCCCATTTGTCCCATTCGAGGGAGGCAGTGCAGACAGGCCAATCAAAGCAATGGTGCTTGAATCGTAAATGGCTGACGGGCCATTTTCTGGCCACTCACCATGCCCTGATGCGAGACTTCTGTTTTTTAGCAGACCTGCCAGGCCCGACCAGAACATCACCCACCACGACGACTACGGACAGGTCCTTTGCCCTAAATAGGGAAGGGTTCCTCGACAAGTCCGAGGCCCAGATGGTGGTGTGCTCAACGTCGTCGTCCTCGTCGTCGTACAACTCAGATCCCCTCGAGACAGATGCCGAAAAGAAGCCCATGGTGGCTGGTGAGAGAGACGGTCAAATATCAGAGAGATGGGCCTCGATGTTGCAGGCTGTTGTGCGCCTGTCTTGGACATGGCGATCCAGGTATTGTTGTTGTCTTGGCAGTGAGTTTTGAGTCGCTCATCGTCATCACACGGTACAAGTGTACCGGCTCTGCGGCTGTACGAGTGTGCGGGCAGTTTATGGATGCCGTAGCCGGGCTTGTTCTCTGGTTACTTTGGTTGCCCAGTCACCGTTGCAAGAGGGCGGTACAGAGTGTTGTTGAGAGACTGGTCCTCATCACCATCACCATCACCATCACCATCATGATCTTGTTCTTTCCACTTGCAACATTGTCTCCGATATCGATATCGTCCCCGCCTCCACTTTATACGATTCGCTCCACGCTACTCTGTCTGAGCTGACAAGTCAAGTGCCAGTCCAAAAGAGCTTCTGACAACGGCACTCTCACACCAACAGAGTGGGCGAGACAGACGATGCCAACAGGTCTGCCCATTTAAAACGCATCTCCCCGCGTTTAATGCCCAAATAGGCCTGGTGCGAAAAAGAGGATGAGAGGATGGGCGAGCAACAATGAGAGCCAAGCGGCAGTTTGTTACCGAGAACACCGACTACGTATCTCGAGATTTACATTTTGGTCTGCACGTCGTATGCAGCAGACTCTGAAAGACACTTGGAGCCATTCGCAGTCGCCAATGGCATCCGGTGCCCCTGCCTCCCACTGCTTTCTCACTGGTCTCTCACGGGTCTTCCACTGACGTCCCCTGTATCCCCTGGCCCAGTCCACCACGCTAGACTTGCTTGTACAGCAAAGTCCGACTCTCACAAGTGGACTGAAGAGAATCGGCCCAACCCACACAACCCACTCTGCCCACCCTACCGGCGACCCGTTCTCCCGTCCTGGCCCCGTCCTGCCTCCTTGGGCCCCACGCCCGACGCCCCGAGAGCCATCTCGGACTCTCACGCTGCCTTCGATATAAGTCTTGGAGCTCTCCCGTCCCGTCCCACGACCGCCTCTGTTCTGACCCCTCCCCACATCTCCTCCATTCACACACAACGTTGAACGTCCATTCCTCTTCACTTCTTACTTCACAACTTAACACATAGCCAGCCCATACATCCACAACTTAACAAAATGTCATCAAGTCATAGAAGACAAGGCTCGAGCCAGAGCACCTCCAGTGGCCACTCCCACCAGCAGAGCCACGACTCGTTCGAGTCCCACCTCACTCACTCTACCGCCCCTACATCTCTCTATTCCACCCATGACCACTACTTCTCAGACCACAAGGCTATGGGAACATCGACAAGGCCGGATGAAGAAGACCTGTATATTCCCTCTTCTTATCACCACTCGCAACCCAAGCCATATGTCTACCAGGACGACGTCAGCCCGGCCACTTCGCTCTACCCACGTTCCTCAGTCGAGACCTACGCCTCCACGACAGCCTCATCCCAAGATCTCGACGCCATGGACCTTGACGACGAATCACCCGTGGAGGCCGAGGACACCAGCATCCCGCCGCTCCCTACGTACCGTCGTGAACTTGTGGAACCCAACGTCCGGGCAACCACCCCTCAGGATTTCGCCAAGCTGTTCCCCTCGCTCAACCGTCTGTCCATCCGTCACGATGAGTACACGTCGGACGGGAACATGAACCTGCGCATCGACACTGTCGTCACTGGCCGCAGAAGAACCGTCTATCAACTCTTCCATCTGCGCATGTACGACTTGGCCAAGCGGGAGTTCTCTCTGCGTCGGTACTGCCGTGACTCCGGGCGTGAGGTCTGCAACTCGAAGCGCAAGTACGCCGAGTCGTCGGCATCGGCCAAGGCCAAGTCTAGGGCTGCCTCCAGGGATGATGTCAACAAGAGCCACCACGAGCGTCCAACCTTGAAGCGCTCCATGTCGACGGCTATCAAGACGCTCAGTGCTGCGACCAAGTCCAAGCCCGTCCTTCGGCGCACAACAACGTCCGGTGCTGCATCTATCTGCTCCAGCCGACCCAACACCAGCGACTCGTGCTACGGTGACGATGAGTTGTGCCACCACAGCAACTCTTCGCGCATGTCTCTCACTTCCAAGGGGAAGGCCCACCGTGCCGTTCCCACCAACACCATCAAGCTTGAATTCAGCAACTATGCCCGTGTTGATGTGCACCGCCGTGGTGGTAAGAGCAACAAGCGGTACGAATTTGAGTGGTGGGGTCACAACTATGCCTGGAAGCGCTCTGTCGACAAGCAAATGGGGGGTCAAGTTTCATTCCACCTCATCCGCGACGGAAACACCAGCGCCCCGGTCGCCCACATTGTTCCCGAGACTCGATCGCCCGCCCAGGTTGATGCCGACGAGCGTGCTGGTGGATGGGTTCCCCCATGCTTCATGTGGATCGCTGATGAGACGATCATTGATGCTGTCACCGATGTTGCTGAGTAAGTTTTCACCCAGTAAAAGAAGACTGGACATCCTCTAATCACATTTGCTTAGTGTTATCATGGCTTCTGGCCTCATGGCTCTTGTCGACGACTGCATCAAGGAGAAGTGGCAGACCTCCAAGAAGGTCCACCGCATCCCCTTGACACACAGAACCGTCAGCCTTCCTAGCATTGACGCCAGCCCACGATCCATCATGCAGCACGTCTTCGGTCGGCGGCACTCGCAAGCTCAGTCTCAGCAACCTACTCCGATGCGGCTTGATCAACCCATAGCAGCCTGCTAAACGAAGTCTTTCACTTCACCAATTGTTCTTGCGGTCTTCACCGGTTCTATCTCCTTTGTCACTATCACGATAAACTTTGCGATTCACATCGGCTTTCTTTCTTCATTGTTTTACGTTCACCATTTTCTTACGCGTTATGATATTGGGCAACTTTTGGCGTTATCACATCTGATTTTTGTTTACGACACATCATGAAAAGCGGGCGGATCAAGCATTGCGTTTCTTTTCTTTTTTATGTCTTTATGTCCAAGAAGCATCTGGAAACCCAGATTGCCTGCATAATGCGCGGTGTTCATGTTCTTTTCTTTGGCTCGAGTCAGATGACGTTAGCGGTGTATTGCCATGGGCTGGCTTTCTTGCTTTTCTATCTTACGACATTATGGTTATGACATTAGGAATCAGTATCGCATTTTACTTTCATTCAACGTTTTAGAGACGGCATGGCACACAGCGAAGCACGGTTGCTGGTTAACTGCTGCGACATTTTACTGGGGGCTTTTGAGAAGGACATAGTATTACTATTACCAACTTTCCAACACTTGCTAAATCACGACGGACTGGTTCCCGGATTTGGACACACTGGATTCTCTTCTTGTACAACGACCGGACAGTAGTATGCACACTAGGCTAGTCCCAGCTGGGCATACTACCGTTTCGGCACAACAAAAACCGGGGAGGGGAATGTGGGAGAGAGCGCGTAAAAAGGAGGATGCAGAGATTGAAGGATGAAGAGAGGGTTGGGATGATGGGGTGTATAGCATGTAGTGGAAAACATCAAAATACAATTAATGTCTGGTGTCTAAATTGATCCTCTCTACACACGAACCTACCTCTCTTCGCGTTCTTCTCAATTTCTCAACGTGAGCTGGTCGAAAAGTCACGGGATATGGCAACAGATGAGTGGCTAGAACCACACGCCGCTAATCTGATAAATCCAGGTCTAGAACACGCACAAATCAGGCAGAATTCAGCATTGGGGCAAACTTTAAGTTTACCTATCGTCATACCAGCGGAGAGAGACCCGAGCAAGACCCTTTGCGAAAACTCGGTGAACCGGTGAGATCTACAGCTGAACTTTGGTGCACTACTCAAGTGCCGTGAAGGGATTTTCAGTTCGTCAGCCCAGTCTCGACCCAGTATGGAGCGCAGGAAGGCGGTGGATGATGGGGAGCAGTGCTGTGGGCTTGAAACACTAGCGCGAAAGAAAGATGAAAAAAAAAAAAAAAAAAAAAAAAAAGGAAAGAGGGTACGGCCCGCTCTTGCCCGCTGTTCCCTGTGGCGAAACGAAACATCGCGGGAGCCGTACCCACCTACACTCCCACAACATCGCGTCTCTCGACTCCTTCCGTTCCGTTCGGTTCGCCGGTTTGGTTGTGCAAAACGTTCGGGAAAGAGCGAACCATTCAGAGTTCTGGCATATGCCGGTTGCCAAAAAAGTTGAAAGATCGTCATTTTATTCCGTCACGTTCACTGACTACTGGGCTATCTGTTGACCGTTGACTGTTGAGTGTTGACTGGTGGTGAATGACTAACACGGGACCTCACCACTCACCACTCACCACTCACCGCCCGACGATCACCCAAACTTTTAAGCATCCAAGCATCCAAGCATTCAAGCAGGGGGGCTTATTTTGGATGTCATTGCACAGTGAACATGCTGCCTAGGCGTAGTTTAGGTGAGGATGGCCCATGGGAGAGGCCCGATGACCGACAAGTTGATGTGTACATGTAGGTGGCTTTTTACGAAGTGATTGACAAGGCTGGCTGGGTTCGTCAGTCTGTCTGTCATTGTGTTGTTTTTGATGGTGATAGGTGTCAAAAGTTGTTGATGGAGATGGTACCCGAAGGTGTCGTCGTGGTGTTGCTGTTGTCGTTGTCGTTGTCGTCGCCGTCGGGTGGTCAGGTCGTCGTAAAAAGCAAACCTTGGTTGATTCTCGGTCTGCAGTCTCTCAATCCTACATAAAAGACAGTATCAACCTCCGAATTTTCATACAGTCTGTCGGTACATATGTCGGTATACTATATGTATCCTGTAGATCGGGAATGATAAACTGCGGGGGGCATTGCTTGACACTCGGCTTTTCGTTGCCCATGGGGAAGGCAAGTGTTGAACCTTTGTTCATGGATTGATTTTCTGGGGAAAGTCATCAAATAACATGCAATGTATGTGCTCCATATGTTCCACGGCATTGGAGAAAAAAGATTGGGTAGTGGCTTGTTCATTGATGTGTTGTTCTTACCTTCAAATGCACATCGCAAATGCACAGATGCGCAGGCAGGCAAGTAGGGTTGATAAAGGTTTCCGACGACATGGGCCTTCTTCCGACAACGACGATGATTACGACGGACGTTTGCGCGCTTGCTCCCGCAACGACAGAACTCGTGGCAGATTCTGGGCTGGGCTTTTTGACTTTCATCCCAACCATTCAGCCCCAACAAGCAGTTCCCCGGGTTCAGGTCCCGCGTGGGAGGTTGTCACGTCGTCGCGCTGTTTACCCACTCCAACCGTTCGTCTGATGTTTTGTGGTCGTACATTCCGACTGTTACCGGTCTCGGTTTAGAGTTTGTGGTTCCGTGATTGCTTGGAGTCAAAGTTCATGAAGCATCGGGTTGTCACAGTTGCAACAATCAATGCTGCATGAACTTCTTTTTCAAACCCTCTTCCTGCTTTTTGTTCCGTCTCGTATACATACACCATTCAATCATTGAAGTTTCTCAAATCCCCCGCGTTGATTGCCCATTGAGACTTCTGTACACTCCTCCGGGAACGCCGCTTATGTCATGGAGATGCATTCAGCTTTTAAGATGTGTTGTCCATCGTCAGCCCCCCAACTTTCCGTTCAGGAAGACTGTCACGAAAGATGCTATCAAAATATGCCTTCTATGCTTGTCTGAGACCGTTTCCTTCTTCTCCAATGTTCCCAAGACAAAGTACTGCTCCTGCTGTTGCAGCATCCTGCAATTCGCCGTTTTCGTTCCTACAGCCCAACGTATGTCGGTTGCCGTAGCCACACACAAGCTTCAGCCTCAGACTTCAAGGGGGCAATGGACGACTCTGATTTGTGCCCCGAAAGCAAATAAAAGAGCGCAGCTGCGATAATAAGGCATAATGACAAGCCTTATGGTTATGCTGGCCTGTGATCTTGGGAGTGATCGTCTATGTCGTTTTCGTTTTCTTCTTTTTTTTTCTTTTTTTTTTCTTCTGTTATCCTTGATATCGCTGTCGGGGCAAACAAACAAAGAAATTGAAGTCCTCAAACCAAGATGCTCTAATCTGTAGCGTGGTTTGTGGAACTTGGAACCGGGCAGAGACACACAACGGCTTTGGTCATACAACGGCTTTGGTCATACAACGACATGATGTACTGGTGCCCGGAGATTCCGACTTCCGATCGTGTTCCCCAAAGGCACTCGAAGCCCCTCAGGAATGTTAGAGACTTGATATCTCATTGGGCGTACTGGGAGGGTTTATCGACCTAATGGCAACTCAAAAATGACGAATGTATATATACCTACGTAGTTGGAGGGCTGGGGACAGAGCCAAATGTGTAGAGCACACATAGTAGCGTAAACAAAAGTAAACACACCGGAAATGCGCAATGCTGTGTTCTCATTGTATCCTTTCCACCTGAATTGATTTCATCCAAGCAATGGTGAGACCGAGAACTCAGAGAAATGCGACGTCACAAAGGTACGGGGGCACAAGATGGTAAGGGGATGACGCAACAATGAATCTGGTAATTCAGTTGCGTAGATATCGCCGTATTCACGAATTCAGATATCGAGCTTTATGAACGTAAAAGTTTTGCGAGTTGAAGTGCACTTTTCGTGAGCATATCGAAGAGTGACAGCAAATGCGAACCGACGAAAGGGTCATCGAGGCCAAAAAAAGAGCAGTGTCGTCCCCAGAACCGCGTTATCAGCCATTGTTCAGCGCTGGAATATTGTATTCAAAGGCAAGCTACCGCTGGTGCTATAAACAGTTGGTTCTCCTTCCCTCCTCTATAGTTTCCGCTGTCTTCTAGTTTGGCAATGTTTGTGCTTTCTCATCTCCTTCTGCATTCTCATCTCCTTCTGCATTCTCATCTCCTTCTGCATTCTCATCTCCTTCTGCATTCTCATCTCCTTCTGCATTCTCATCTCCTTCGCCGTCGGTCTCAGGCCCCGGGGCTTGGTCCTTATCCTCAATCCCCTTCGTCGCCTCCTTTATCTCTTGGACCTTATCCTCAACTCCCTTCATCGCTTCCTCTATCTCCCGTTCCCTCTCTAATCGAGCAAGCCGCCAGTCCAAGTACTGCGCGTTATGTTCAATCATCTTTTCGACCCACTCTTCCCAAGGTTCAAGACGACAAAGCAATGCCTCTTCAAAGACACTCGGCCATTGCCCCATCGCAGACCGCAGAAGCTCATCCCTGAATCGATCCACGGGAAACAGGCGTTCCTACGCCTTCAACCATCTGTAAGCCTCTAGGGCGTCTTTCGAGTCCCTCAAGACGTATACCATGGTGTCTAGATAATCAATCACCTTTGCGTACCCAGGCTGCTTCTAGAGCGCGTAGTCTGGCGAAGGGTTATTTTGATTTTCTCGAAGTGATTGTTTGAATGCATGTATCTTGTCGAGGGCCCATCTGCGTCGGTTGTTTTGGTCGTATTTTTGGGCTGTGTCTGAATTCATGGCCGGAAAGCAAGTCTGGTATGACTCGGCGTTAGTGCTTTGTAGCATGATTTCCAGTCAAGATCATCGGGTACTTACGGGGATAGAAAAGGCCCAGTGCTCTTTCCAAGGAAAGGGGTTCGTCGCAGACAATAGGCAATGATAATGCTTGAATGTCGATGCACTTTTCTGTGATGTTTCGTGAATGCGTACTCGTGATGACCGGCGTTTGTTCGTTGGCGAGAGGTTATTTCAAGCTGAAGGTTGTTATGGTGAGAGAGCGATAACTGATACTCTTATGCTGACTGATCGATCTGTCGAAGTTGGGTAGTTGATGTTGTGTTGATGTTTTCTCCGAGATGCAAATCAAGGATGGGCATTGTATGCTCTAGACAATGTGGAAATTGCGCTTGACGAGCTTCCTTCTCTTTCCCCTTGTCATTTCGATGCTCGGACCCGCCATAGCTTCTCGTTCCTTCTCACAGTCAACCGTTTTCTCCTTCTGCCATCTTCCTTTTCTATTTTCTTATATCTTCCTTCTCATTCTCATGGTACATTCACAGAGTCGTAACTGTACAGTATTCACCTCTCTGCTCCTTATCTCTTTGACGGGCCTTGACGTAAATCCCCCTATGCTCATCACCGGTTAGATTTTGTTGTCGCTGCAGCACCAGCCAAACTTTGCGGGCCCGTGGGACAAATCGAGGACGATACACGCAGGGTCATACAGACGAGTATAGTGTGCGGGATCTCACAGCGCTCAACTGGGGGCACCGTCATTTAGCGAACGTTGTTGATTTGCCTTCTATACTTGAAATATTTTCCGTGCCATAAGTCCATCTTCTAAAACGCCTAAAACCATGATCAAAAAATATCATAACACGTGAAAAAACAACGGAGAATAAGATAATCCATGAAGACATTCCGACCGCCTCAATACCCGTCATTTTCCTCTCTTGAACGCCGCCATGCTGTCCTTGTTCCCCTCAATACACAAACCGGTTACTCTGCATCAGGGATTCCGCTGGCACCCTCCTCCTGGTACTTATCCCAGTTTGCCAAGATCTGTTGGATCTTGGGGGAGTTCGTCAACCGGTAGACATCCTCGAAATACTCCTTGGTGATCGCGAATGGCTTAGCAGTTACGTTGGGAATGTACTTGCCAATAAGCTTCGATGGGTCGATGGTAGTCTTGTTGATCTTCTTAAGCAAGAAGCTTCTGAAAGGCTTGACACCGGACCGCAGGAAGGTCGAGTGGAAAGGCACATCGATACCGGGGAGCGGGATGGTGGCAAAGCCACGCTGGAGAACGAGGGGCGTGGGCTTAGCCTCAGTGTCGTTGGCGCACGACTTGATGATCTCGACCAGCTGCTCCTTGACAGTCTCGGCAGAGTACTCCTTACGCATCTTCTCAATGTCGATCTTCATCATCTTGATGGCGTTGCAGACACCGCCAAGGGTGTCGAGCGCACGCAAGTCGCCAGCACAGACGTACTGCATGTTCTCGACGTTGAAGTTGACAATCTCAAGAAGCCAGCCGGTGGTCTCTGCGATGCTGCCGACCACGAACCGCAAGGCCTCTTCAGTGAAAGTCTTGTTGATGCGGCTGGGGTTGACAGCGCACATGCCATAGTTGGAGCGCCCTGTCTCATCGCGCTCGACAGCGACCTGCATGGTGAGGCCACGGTAGAAAACGACGGACACGAGGGACTCGATGGGCATGACATCGGCAAGGGCAGCCAGCGCAGAGTATTCACCAAGAGAGTGACCAGCGAAGGTGCTATCACGGGGCACAAGTCCCTTGGCCTTCATGTCCTCGAAGCTGGCCTTTTCCATCAGAGTAAGAGCGGGCTGCGTGAACTGAGTAGCCGAGAGAAGACCGTTGGGTGAGCGGTAAGTGTAAGAGGTAGTCTTCTCATCGATCTCCTTGAACATACGTTCCGACTTGATCGAGCCATCGGCGGCCACAGTCTCGAAAGTCATGGACATGTAGTTCTGGCGGATGGCCTTGCCACGAGGGCCACCGAAGTGAATAGTGAGCTCCTTGGGGTTGTTCCGGACAATGTTGGTGATGGCGAAGCCTACAGACTTGTTAGCATTGAAATCAACGAAAAGACAATAGTAGGGACATACCATAAGTATCCATAAGGTACTTGTCAGCCCGATCCCAGACAGCCTTGGCCACAGGGCTGCTGTCATAAAGAGCCATACCCATGCCCTGCTCCTGCGAGCCCTGGCCGGTGAAGATATAAGCGGTGATGGGCTGCTCAATTTCGGCCTCACCCAGGAGCACCTTTTCCTCGGTCTCCTTATTGCTCGCCTCAACCTTGATGATCTTCCGGCCAGCAACCATGCCGACGTGCTGCAACTTCACGTTGATATCATCATTGGGCAGAACCATGCCGGTAAGAGAGGCATGGAAGCTGCGAACGCGGCCAACCTTGTTCTCGGCAGCCCAGGTCTCAACCAAGCTGCGCACCGCGGCACTCGAGTACATGCCGTGAGTGATGGTGCCAGGAAGGTTGGCATAGTTGGAGAAGACACGAGAGACGTGAATGGGGTTATAATCACCGGAGACGCGGGCATAAGTCTCGTTGGACGAGGGCGCCTTGAGTTGGAGGGGAGTCTTTCCGCTCAGAGGGATAGGGTTCTCAAAGTTGATGGGCTGCTCAATGGAGGAACCATGGCGCTGGAGGTAGTCAATGACGGGATTTCCGTGAGATTCGCCAGCGTAGTAGTTGACAGTGGCAACCTGGATAATCTCCTTGGTCGGGAGCTCAAGAAGGACCTGGCCCTGGGTCTCCACGTGGCTGAAGACAGTCTTGTTCTTGAAACGAACCAAGGTCTGGAGACGGAAGGTGAGGGTCTGGCCGAGAAGCTCGATGTCAGAGTTTTCAACATCATCCATCATGAACCAATCCTTGGAGCGAAGGACAGCCACATCCTTGGAGGTGGCAAGATGAAGCTGCATAGGGGTTTCCATCTTGCGCTGGAATGTGTTCTCGAAGTCGGTGTAGGTACCACGGTACAAGAACTGCGAAGTAACCTCCATAACCTTCTCACCGTCACGAGTGATGGTGCCACAGACCTCGACCATCTTTCCAGACTCCTGGTTGATGACAGCGTTGATCTGAGCAGTAGTCGAAACCACATCGCCCTTCTTCAGGGGCTCAGCACCAGGCATCATGCGGAACTGGTTGGACAAATGGACGAGCTTGAGCAGGTCGCCGTCAATGGTGCGAGGGAAGATAGGCTTGGTGATAGCCTTCCAGCCAACAACAATAGCAAAGTCCATGGGAGCATACATGACCTTGTCGGGTCTGTCGACGAAGGCCTCTCCGGTGTTGCCAACGGCGTGGACAAACTCATTGATGGCCTCGCTGGTAATGGTGGTCTTGCCGCCATCGAAGACTTCATGGACGGAGGAATCAAGGTCAAGCTTCTCATCGCCGAACCACGCGCGCCAGTAGAACTCCTTGATGCGATCATTGCGACCATCCATAACCTCATGGATGGGGGCAAAGCCAGCCTCGGGGTTGTAGATGAACTTGAGAGTGAGGGGCACCGGTTCTCCGAGGGCCGTGGTATCCTTGATCATGTTGACGACAATCTCGTTCTTGCCGTCCAGCTTGACCTCAATAACATCGGCGTAGCGGTTGGGGCGCGGCTGCTCCTTGACGAGGATGACCGTCTTCTCGGGGTTGTTCGGGTGCAGAATCTCGACAAACAGACCACGAGTCGGCGCAAAGATGCGGCGCATGGGGTTGGTCTGATACTTTTGCCCTTGAACGAGGACATCGGACTGGAGAAGGGCGAAACGCCAGTTTCTTTGGTGTCCGGCGAGAAGCGAAAGCCAGGCGTCCAGCGAAGGAAGTTGAACGGAAGGCGATGAGGACAGACGATAGGTGTTCTTGTGTTCATCATAGGAGACAGTAAGACCCTCGATATCGAGAGGAATTTCCGACTCGATCAGCTTACCACCAAAGTACTCAATGGTAGGGATCTTGCTCTCATCGCCGCCATACAGGTCACGGGTAAGCAAGGCGATGTGACCGTTGTGAATACCGTCGAGGATGTCCTTGATGGGCTCGTCAACCTTGGTAGCGTGCTTGGCAGCCATGGGACCCTGGAGAATACAGGTGCGGCCGACATCCTTGCCAACGACAGCCGCAAGATCCTCCGACTGCCAGAGCGAATCCTTCTTGAAGAAGAACTCGAAGTTCTCATCGAGAACAGGCACAAAGGTGACCGGCTTCTGTCCACGACGTTGGCAGAGCAGCAGGAAGTGCTGGACATCCTGAGCGTTGATGAGTTGCTTCTCGGCCTCGGGGTAGTGCGAGAGAATCTGCTCAACAGCAGAGTAGGGTTCCTTGAGGTCAGCATAGCTCTGGAGTCTGGAAGGCTGGCCAGGAGTGGTGGTAAATCTCTCCTCAATGCGGTGGATAAAGTCACCAGTAAGCTTGGTGTACGACTGGTCAATCCACCTAGCCTCATCCTTGACGTAGAGAAGCTCGACCAGGCGGCGAGCAATCTCAGCATATGTCATGTCCTCAAGATCGACGGCCTTGCCCTCCTTGTTCTGACCAAACCAGACCTTCTGGAAGTCCTTGTTGAGCTTCTCGATGATGTAATCACGGCTAGCCTTGAGAGCAGCGACCCTCTTCTCCTTGGGTAGGCTGAAGATCTTCTGATCCATCTCAGCCCAAAAGCGGACACCACGAGTGGCGAGCTTGTGAATGGGCTCACCCATTTCAGAGCGGACAGTGATGACACCGCCAGCGGGACCCTTGTAAGTCTTCTCCCAGTCACTGTCGTCAAGACCAGGAGCGTCAACGATAGCCTGCTTGGCAGCCAGGCTGGTGTGGGCTTCCTTGGCGACCATCATGCGGCTACCGAACATGCAACCGTCGAAGGGCATGGGGGGATAGCCATACTTGATGGACCAGTCACCAGTAAGGTAGGGGTAAGTGTCATCGGCACCTCCGAAACCGCTACCGGCAACGAGAATGATGTTTTCTTGGCGGCGGATGCGACCATAGAGGTTGAGGATGTGGTGATGGAAATCCTCAAACGAGTGATGACCACCACCTCTGCCACCGGTCCACTGGAGAATAACGGGGAAGGTAGGGTTGGCCTTGGCGATGTTGATGACAGCCTGAATAGCCTCGCCCGAACCAGGCTTGAAGGAGATGTGCTTAAGACCCAGAGTCTCGATGTACTCCTGAGCGACCTCGATCGAGGGGACACCAGCACCGATGGTGAGACCTTCGATGGGGTAGCCCTCAGCTCTGAGTCTGCCAAGCAGGGGAATCTGCCAGCCCATGGCGCGAGGGTTGACATAGATCAAGTTGACGCAGATACCGCGACCAGCAGGAACAGCCTTCTCAATCTTGGAGATGGCCTCGGTCATGGTCTTGGCATTGTAGTAGCCACCACCAGCAAGCTCGATCTGGTAGCCAGCATTCATGGTGGCAGCAATGAAGTCCCAAGGCACAGTGGTAGGAGTCATACCGGCGACCAACAAGGGCGGGAGGCCAAGAAGTCTGCTCATCTTGGTATCAACGTATGTACGACCAACGGAGTTCTTGACCAGTCTAGGACCGTATTCCTTGACCCAGTCCACAGCAAACTTGACTGCCTGCTCCTCGTCACGGTCGAAAAGCTCGGGCTTGTAGCCAACATCAGTGACAGTTCCGTTCACCGTGCCAGCAAGGATGACGCGAACGCCGGTACCCTCCTTGTTGCGGCTGG